CCGGAGGTGGTGGAAGTTCGGAAAGTAAAGAAAGCTCGGAAAAGGATGGAAGAGCCGGTAGGGGGCAGAATAGAAGAGGGCAATCGGAAAGAGAATCGGTTTCCGGCAGGGAAGGAAATAACTATTACCGTGGTTCTGATAGAGGTGAATACAGGATTCGGTCATACAAACCAAGGGAAAACCGAAAGAGCAGCTACAGTTACGACTCTGGGTATCGTTATGTCCGCCCTAACTCTGGTTACGATTATGACGTGTATGGTGGGTATGGAAGGCAAAGCTACGATGACGGATACAGAAGAAGAAGGTATTACAGAAAAGGTTACGGGAAAGATTACCGCACAGACTACGGGGAAAACCAGAGACGGGAGGACCGGGATTATGGATATGGTTACAATGAGGAGGAGGATAAGGAAAAGGAGACTGGAAAAAGTAGTAAAGACCGGAGAGACGAAAACATAAATAGGGATCGCACAGACTACGGGGACAATAAACAGACAGACAATGAATATGGATATAATAACAACTACGATAGGAAAAGGAATTATGGAAGATTTGGTAAAGACTGGAGGGATGAAAACCTTTATAATTATGGCTATTATTAAACCCTTATCGTGATTCCCTGTTGGAACTGGTGTGGCAACTAGAATTAGGGTTTACATTTTCTTGGTTACGGTTCAGGGCTACTTTGTAAAGAACACTTGTATATATTTGTGAATATATTTTGTGAAGAAATGTTAGAAAATGTTGAATGATATTCAAGTTATAGCCACCTTAAATATAGAAATTTATTTGAGGTAACTGTACATAGCATAGATATAACAAAACTCAGAGGGCGCATGCGTCTGCCAACTCAAGAAATCTTTATATCCAAACTGAAGTTTCTGTTTAACGTTTCGACATCTGCTTATTTCTTCAGAAGCTCCAGCAAATCTGAAGGAGTCTTCAATGCCCCAAGGCATATTTCTTCGCAGAATATTATTGGATCTAACGATTGATTTCTCCTTAAGAGATGTTGCATTCAGCTGCTGAATGAAAAACATCTCGAAAAAATATATATCGTCAGAAAGTGTATCTTCACTGATATCTCCTTCAAAATCAAATAAATTCTTCTTCTTTGTTTTTGTAAAACAAATATCAAAATTCCTTCACGACTTTAGGGAATATTTGCTGGACAGAACGTATAACATTTGTAGAGGAGACAATGACTTTTTAGGATATTGCGTATTAATTTTTACAAAGCCCAAAGTGCGATTATACGCAGGTTGTCACAACAGTTTTGGAGACCAGCTAGGTTTCTTAAAAATTCGAGAAAAAAAAACTCGACTTTTTTAAATAAGTAATATTTCTCCTTTACAATAATGTAAACAAGATATGCGTAAATTTCCATTTCAAATTGCACGTACTCTTATTGGAAAGAATCTTAATTTATTAAACATTTTTAAGGTGAAATTATTTTATTAGGACAAATTGAGTGCATTCCTCAGGGCACTTAGCGTATTTCTTGTTTCTTTTAAGAAATTAGATTTTCCAGTTAACATCAGTATAAGAAGAAATCGCGATGGTCATAAATAATTTGGTTTTTTTCATAAAGATATTGTCCGTCTCGGTAATGATTTCCTAGAATGTTAGTCCATTGACACCCATAAATTATTTACATTTCACACGTACGGACACAATTGTGTTTAACTCCAAAGAATCTACATTTTATCTTTTTATTTTTGTATATATTTACTTTTTGTTTGGTTTATCATTTCCATTTTTAATAAAACGGACCTCCTCTTAATCCATAATGAGACATGGACGTTTTCTTCGAAAAAATCTAAGTGCCATGTTTTCAACAGTCTGCCGTGGAATTTAATGGAAAGAAAATTAAACTATTCGCTACCGAAACTTTAGGGCGAAATCTTTTAAATGTTTACTAATTATACACATACAGGTGTAGCTATTTCAAAGCTTTTTTTTTTTTTTTTTGATATTTAGTCCAATCAATGAAATATTCATTTAAAGGTGCTAATATTACTAAGGATTTCAAAGAAATGTTTACAATGATGATCCAGCTAGTTTTTAGTTTTGTAAAGAGAAATAAAACATATTTAGTTCAGAAGAATTTATATAATATTATTTTTAAACAAATATTATCATTGTATTTATATGTTATTATATTCTAAATTGATAAGCTTTTGTTCCTGAAAATATAAACAAAGGAATAAAAAAAATCATTCTTGGACAATATGTGTTTGTGTGTGTCTTGGAGTGGGAGTAGGGTCTGTGCGTGTAAGGGAGGGAGGGGGGGGGGATAACTTACAACTTATTGACCGAATTCTATTAAATATTACTACTAATAAATGTGAATTTCCGCCCTCAAAAAGCAACTATCCACATAAGAATATTTCAGTCTCCAGCACACCATTGGCTGCGGAAGAAACGTGTAGCTAAAGGGTCCATTATACTTCCCTTATTCTGAACAATTTTCAGAATAATGCTATTCTTCGTAATGAAACATCTGGTTCCCCGTGGTAATATACACCAAGGGCAAAGGAAATTAACAAATTTCTGTCGATGTGAAATAAGGTTTCGGAATTTTGATTTTCACCCTGGGGGTTATTGAGGGTAAAAAAAAAATTCTGCAAAAACTTGGTCTCCTGAACTCCTCTTACAATTTTTGCAGTAACCAACTCATCTTCTGGAACATGATTGATGGAGGACTTTAGATGTGCAATAAGATTTTGAATTTTGTTTTTCACCCTTTGGGTGATTGGGGGTTTAAAAAATAAGTTTTTTTCCTCAATAAAAACCTGGTTCTCTGAACCCCTCATTAAGTTTTCGTAATAACCTATTCATATTTTGGAATGTTTTTGAGGGTATCTTGTGCAATAAGATTTTTGAATTTCGATTTTCACCCTATGGATGACCGGGAGGGGGGAACGTCGAAAAAAGGTGTTTTTTCCTACAAAACCTAGTTCCCTGAACTCCTACATTTTTACAGTAACCAACTAATCCTTTGGAATATGATTGGTGGTGTCCTGTAGATGTGCAATAAGGTTTCAGAATTTTGATTTTTCACTATGGGGACCAACAGATGGCCAGAAATGATATTCTTCTTTTAAAAAAAAACTATTTACCCGAACTCCTCTTACATTTTCACAGTAGTCCAATTATTTATATTTTTGAAGAAGTCTGTGTGTGTCCTGTAGATGTGCATTTAGGCTTCGGAATTTTGATTTTCACCCTGGGGGTGATTGGGGGTTGAAAATCGACTATATTGTGGAATAAATAAAATTATTGTGGCTTCTTCCTTTGTTACCCAAATATATGAAAATGAGTACATTTAGAGGCAAACGCCTACGTGTGGGTATTTCTGTCTTATGACAGCATCTAGTTTATTTTACATTTAATGATTTTATCCCTTTTGCGCATTCCCGTCAGCTTCATACGCCACATAAATATATATTACACCAAAGATAAACATACGTATAGTAAATTACCTTTTTGAAGTAGTCCGTCTTATTTCTTTAATTAATAAAACTATTGTGAATTCTACCTTAATCTTGTGTTTTATATGCAAACATAATCGCTTAAATGGCATTAAAAATGAAGGCAGTATGAAATTTGAAGATATTTTTGGTATATTTTTTTTTACAGCTTCCAGAAGTATATTAGTAGAACTATTTTTTTTAAATGCATGTTTTATTTTTCCTCTTTTCCAGAAAAAAAGATAAAATTAATTTGTTTTTGTCTTAGTTTAAGAGAAATTATTGAACTCTACTAAATCATATTTTTGAAAAAGAAATTCTGAAATCTACAGTTTCCTTCTTAGAATCAAAAATAATTCTACAGAAAAAGAGAAAGCTTGGTTATCCTGATATACTGCAGTACTTTTTTCTGAAATTTGGTGATGTATCATAATACTCTTTCTCTTCTGATAAACAACCGTCACCGTAGCTCAGACGGTAGAGCGCTCGCTCTGTGATCGGAAGGGATTGTGTTCAATTCACGGCCATCACCGACCATGGTCGATAAAAAATAGGTAGCAGCTGTTCCTTCGCCAAGCGCTCGGCACTTTGAAATGAAAGTTATGGGTCCTGTGATGAGACTTAAAAACCGAGGCCCCGTGTCAAGGTAGGCAGGCATTGGCACGATAAAGAACCCTCACTGCTCAATGGCCCTGAGTGCCGAGTAAAGGTCTAAATTTGAAGCCCTGTCACACCAAGATGCGTCCCAACTGAGTTATTACGGCGTTGTTAATTTTTTAAAATCGCCGTGGAATCGCAGGGAAATTGCACAAATTTCTGTAAAATTTTCACGTGAAGATGTCACGGCGTCCCTACGGCGACCGCCGCGTTTCTACGGCGTTCACGCGGTGTGCTACTGTGTTCCCACGGAGATCTCTTGGGGATTGACTGCGCTTCCGCGGAGTTTTCATGGCGTGCTAGGAGTTGTCACCTTGCGTTGACGGCGTTCTAACTGCGCTGGCTGCGTTCACAATACGTTTACAACGCGTTCGTAATTAAACGCAGTGACATCTCTAAGGACTCCGCGACGTCTCCGTGGAAGCGCAGTCTGCTATCACTGCGTTCATGCTGCGATCATGTGCCTTTTCACGGCGTACCTATGGAGCTCCCACTGCGTTGTTGGAGATCTCTCTGCGCTGCTACGGCGATCATACTACGTTTCTACTGCGTTCTTATCACACAGCGCGTACTTTGTACATGCCCAAAGTGCCCGCCGTCCCCTGGCGTTCTAGGAGACCCTACCGCGTTCAGTGGAGATCTCGACGCGTTGTAACGGCGCTGCAGGAGACTCCACTGCGCTCATCTCGGCATTTTGCATTTTTTGATGGACGCCGTGCGATTGCCGTGAGGACGCAGTGCTGGTGTGACAGGGGTTTAACCGGTATATGGTGACGTTTCTACATGAGTGAAAAATTCTTGAACGGACACAAAACAACATATAATCAATCAATCCCTTTTGATAAACAGCCCTAAAAAGATCAACCATGAATCATTTGTACAATTTATTGCAGTAAATAAAATGTGTATCATATTGTTTGTTACTCAATACAAAATACTGGAGATAAAATTATTTTAGAAAAAAAATCCCAACAATAGTGCAAATGTACTTAAACATTTCAGCAATGAGCTCCTGGAATGATACAATTTAGTAATGCATGTGTACACAACATAAATGGAATGATATACCAGTTAGTTTTGAAGTCTGCATGTATAATATAAAATTATCCTGGCACAATACAATTCAGTTATACATATATTTACACTATATAAATATAGTATATCAGGAATTTGTCCTCTAGTAAATATGTATAATGTAAAAATAACTTTGAATAATGCAGTAAATAAAGACATGTACACACCATACGTCACGGTGTGAATGGAATGTTATAGCATTTCATTTCAATATCACAAGGCCAAATATATATTGCACAAAAAAACACACAACCATAATAAGGAATTTTTTTTTCACTGGCATTGAGAAATATTGCTAAAATGACACAACCTTGCCAAAAATGTTTACAGTCAACTAGCCACATGTACATATATCTTTGCCACAAGTAGTACATCACCTAGCTTCCACAATTCACATTACTCAAGTCACTGCTGTGTTCCTCCACATCAGCATATAAAAATGTGGATATGTAAAAAGTATGTAAAATATGTATCAAATGTTATTGACAATTTTCAATTCTAAGAAGAAAAAACTTATTCTAATCACATTTCATCAGTTCAATGTGTTTCTGAAGTTTTTAACTCTAATGATTTAAAGGATATATCCTATATATTTCACAGGAAAATAAATTAACGACTAATAAATAAGAAATACATAAAATGTGTCTAGACACAACTTTAAACAATAATTTCTGAATATAGGTATTTTATAGGATATAAATCAGGCCACCTTTAAAAAAAATTTTTGCTTGCCCTCTTCCTATTCAGGATGAAAATATTGGGTAGGTAGGTAGGGAGAATTTTTTTTTTATAAATTCCAAAAAACTTAGGAATATGATATTACAGTGGCTAACTACATTTAATTAGGAATAGAATAGTTAATGGAATGAAAAAAAAATTGGAATTATTTAAAAAAAAAAGTTTTCTGTAGATTAAAAAAAAGTTTTGAGTCAGGCCGTTTTTAGTCAGCATTTCTGGAGAGAGCAAACAATTTTTTTAAAGATGACCAAGGAAAGAGACATTTTAAAAACATTTTGGAGAACATTTAGTCCTAGTTGATAATTATCTCAAAATAAAAGACTAGATGAATTTTGTAAATGAAAATCAACAACAGTGTATTTCTAAAAGAGGGTTTCTTTATATATATATGTATATTTGAAATTAATTTTCTATGCATAGTTTAAGTCCAAAATACATTCCACAAGAAGTGCTTGATGTGTTGATATAAATAACCATCTGAATTCCCTCCATGTTATGAAGAATTGACCAGCAAAGGAATTAAAACATGGATTCCAGGAAAATTTCTTCCTTTTGTGGCAAGACACTTTGAGTATAACATATTCTCAGATTTAACTCCTCTTTATATAAATATCAATTATATTTAGTATTTCATAAATGAGGGTTTTTTTAAGAACAATTTTTCTATCAGTCTAAAAATAAAAATTTATGTATATGATAAAAACATATCCTCATTTTTACCTCATTTATCAGTTACCTGTAACTTACACTAATTTGCTAATTAATGACTGAGATGTCTGGTTCAGAAGAAACATTTAACACAATCAAAGCACACGATTCATTGGAACACTTGATACCACTGAGAAACACAAAATATAAAACAAAAATATCATCCTACAAGCTGCTAGTATTAAATGTTTGATAATATGGAAGACAATCTTGGTCTTATTTTTTAAGGTGGACACAAACATTTCACAAATAATCCATAACACAGAAATGGCAGCCATTCAAAATGGCAGTGTGCACTACAAATCTAACAATAGTTCTCATTTAGCATTGATCTTCAAGGAAAAAAGAATAATAGCAAAGATTCAATGAACTTGATCCATTCCTGTGTTCTTAGATCACTACAAGAAGTAAATATCTTTGGTAAAGTTCTCAGTTCATTGAAGTCTCTAATCAAAATAACAAACAAGATGTTACTAAAAACTCTAAAATCAAAGCATATTACAGACAGACATAACACCTTTTGCAGAAATAAATATATAATAATAATAATAATCAAAAATGCAGTTTATTAAAAGGATCACAGAAAAATAATTTTGTTGGAAATACAAAAAAACTGTACTTCATGACAACATTCAGATATGTGCAGGAAACCCACAAACTATTGATATAGGGAATGTCTTGTAAAGGAATGTGAAAAGTAAATTTTGAGAATTTTCCTTTACTTAAATATTCCTCCCAGCATGCCTTTCAGCCTGCCATATTCCACTTTTTAAATGTCTTGACTCCATCTTTTTTCCATTCCTCAGCACTGATACAGATTTGTTTGAATTGCTCCATGTTGGCAAGTGAGCAGGCTCCAATGTAGGCACTGTGATACCTCTGGGGAGAGGCATGTACCTAATAATAGAAACCCAGATATCAATAGTAATCCCTAAAATATATGCCTTAACATAGGATTAGCTATAAATAGAAATAGAGATTTCCTATAATTCCAGGATTTCCTTTGTATAACATCGTCTTACCTCCACCATGACAGAGGGGGGAGCTAGTTTCTGTAGTTCACACTGTAACCTTTCAGCAAATCCAGGTAACCTAGTCACACCTCCACTCAGGTAAATAGCCCTAAAACACATCATATTCATACGTAAAAATACATGTATATATACAATGTCTTTTGTATCATCCAAAAATAAACTTTCAAGTAAGGACATTTCAAATTAAACTAAAAATCCCCCGTCCACACCTACCTGTACATTCTCTTCCTGCTATCTATAGGACAGGACTGGATAGCCTGGAACACTAACTTATGGACACAGGGGTAATCCATACCCCACAGGTCTGTGTTAAAGAACCCCTCAGGACTCTTAAAACAGCTGTAGTCATGGGTGACCTCCCTGTCAAGGAAAACAATGCAAGAGAGGACATAGTCATTGTTGTTCATGAATCAATAAATTAAGTATAAAGAAGCATGGATATTCTTAAATTATTCCAGAGTTTGCCTTCATTGCTTATTTCATATTCTTTGTCCACGAATCCCTTATCAGTAGCAATGATACATGTGTATCCACACACACAGAGATACCTACATAGTGGCCCCCTCCGGAAGATCAAAGTTATTCAGGTAAACAGTGGCTTTATAACTGTCCGGGTCTTCTTCACATTTCTTCAGAGTTTCCTTATAATCAGTGACTAGGTAACACGACTGAAATAAAAATCATAAAACTATCTTAAAGTGGAGTGACTCTCTGATAAATCAGAAATTAATAAACACAACATGTTATAAAATAATTTCATCTCCAAAAAAATAATTGCCTCATCATTTTATTTCTTTCTTGCAAAATTACATTCTTTTTAATTTTTACTAAAAAGATGTTGTCTACCTCTAACTTTAGAATTAACTATACTAAGAACACAAGAGTTTGTTGTATTTTTTCGTTGAGAGACAAGAGGGAACACTGAAATCATTAACTGTATATAAAACATCCTCATGGTGTAAACTAAATTACTTCCCTGCTTATCTCCCCTACCTGTTCCATAACAGAGTGAACCAGTAGTTGTTGTATATAGACTTAATTATGACCCTGATTATCTCCCCTACCTGTTCCATGTCGTAGCAGACCATTAGTTGTTGTATATAGACTTAATTATGACGCTGATTATCTCCCCTACCTGTTCCATAACGTAGCGGACCAGTAGTTGTTGTATATAGACTTAATTATGACCCTGATTATCGCCCCTACATGTTCCATGATGTAGCTGACCAGTAGTTGTTGTATACAGACTTAATTATGACCCTGATTATCTCCCCTACATGTTCCATGATGTAGCTGACCAGTAGTTGTTGTATACAGACTTAATTATGACCCTGATTATCTCCCCTACCTGTTCCATGACGAAGCTGACCAGTAGTTGTTGTATACAGACTTAATTATGACCCTGATTATCTCCCCTACCTGTTCCATGACGAAGCTGACCAGTAGTTGTTGTATACAGACTTAATTATGACCCTGATTATCTCCCCTACATGTTCCATGAGGTAGCGGACCAGTAGTTGTTGTATATAGACTTAATTATGACCCTGATTATCTCCCCTACCTGTTCCATGATGTAGCGGACCAGTAGTTGTTGTATATAGACTTAATTATGACCCTGATATCTCCCCTACCTGTTCCATAACGTAGCGGACCAGTAGCTGTTGTATAGGTGTGGAGAAGTTGTAACCTTGGAGACAAGAGTTCAGAGATTCTATGACCTTCTGTCCTCCATACGACTGCCTGGAAACCCCACCTTCTATCACAAAACCTAAAGAAAGCAGAAGATAAAAAGAGGATAATTACAAAACCTAAGGAAACCAGATTATAAGATCATTGAATTACATTGTAGAAAATAACCTAATATTTATTACACCTCCTATAAAATGGAACAGCCTCATTAAAGTTCTCGCAGGACAAAAAGTTAGTGAATTTTCAATGGAGTTCAATGGTTTTGTGACACATTTATAGCTAGCAAAAAGAAGTTTGTAGGGATCACATTTTTTTGCTACATGAAACAGTATAAAATTACATGATTTACTAGAATTACACACTTTAATTTTGTTCTTACCTGAAGATTTGAAAAATCTGAGATTTATTGTACTTTACCACATGAAAAAAATATTAACGAACCATCGTAGATTGGTAGAATCTCCATCCTTTCTCCGATGTCGACTATGATTCCAGACGTGGCATTGTACGAGTAGAGAGCTAGAAGTGACTGCATCACCATACATACTCCCTGAACATTGTACTTGTCAATTAGTGTCTCCATCAATCCAGCCCGGATCTTATCTCCCAGATTCTGAGGGGTGCTGATCATCATCTGAAAAATAACACAAAATTTGAAATCATTTGACAGATCAAGTGTATGACCAGGTTATATGTCTATTTTTTTTCTTTAGAGATTGTCTTCCACAGAATTTAATTAAGGCAAAACTATTCCTAATTGTTCCAAAACCTATTTCACACTTTCTTTTAAAATTATTTTACCAAACAGTATTTTTTTTAAGTTGATATTGTATGTCTAGACAAATTGTTTGTTTCAGCCTCATTAGTATTAATGGAGTTTTTGGCTCTGGGTAAAGTCTGACTGGTTCCCTACCCAGTATTCAGCTGGTTCCACTTTGAGGTCAGTGAAAACTTTTTGGAATACAGCACCGATTGTAGATATGTCGATGCTAAACTGTAAAACAAGAAAGATTCAATTACTGAAGCTGAAATCTTATATCACTGACAGTACACTTACTTTAATGTTACAAAATATATGAGCCATTTTCTAATACATGTATAATTTGTTGTTGTTTTTAAAAAAAAAAAAAAAAAAAAAGAAAAGAACTGAATGTTTAAATTTACAGATATGATGTGCATGAACATGAACATGATATGCTTTAATATATGAAAAAAAAACAACTCAGACTTGATACTAAACAACACTCGTTAGCTGAAATACCAATACACATAAAACAGTTCTACCTTACACCACTAACACATGAAAAAGATGATGATGATGTTAAGAAAATGAAAGAAGAGTTAGACTTTGAAAGCATGAAGCATGACGACAAATGACACATGAATCAATAACTAACGAGAGATCAACACAATCTGCTTTACAGACTGGTGGTGTTTTAATGACATACAAAACAATGAGATATCAACACAATCTGCTTTACAGACTGGTTGTGTTTTAATGATATGATTAATAACATGAAACAATTAATGAGATATCAACACAATCTGCTCATGTTTTATTGAGGGAAGTTCTGTATATTAACAAAGAGCCCATATACTTAAATAATGCAGTTCTGTACCCTAGTCTGATATATCTGCATGTGAGGAAACAGGACATGACTTGCTTTGGTATTTTATTCCTTCACGTTGTGTAATGATACAAGTGTATATATACAGTAAAAGGATGGATACACTCTCTGTGTGATGCATTCTGGGAAAATTCAACTGGATAAAGTATTGATGGGAACTCTCAGAATTTGAAAATGATTTGGAATAGCGCTGGTGCTGTGCACATTCCTTAAGGCAAATATATATATAAACAAAAAGCAGTAAAGGTAGAAATGTCAGAGGTCAAGGACACCAAAACTTACAGGACGCAAAAAATCCTAGAAAAATCATAAAATCTTTTATATTAAGAACAGACTAGACTTGACTAAAATAAAAATCATATTATCAAGACAAATACAATAAAAGTGAAGACAAGCAATGACTATGATGTAATGAGTTTACATAAAATTCATAATGGCTAGCATTAACTTTCTTTTATAAAGAGAAACATTTGCTAAATGAAAATACAACAGAAATCAATAAGATATATAAAACAAGTTACAAAATGATGTCAAAATTCACTCTAAAATGACTACATGAGACATGAGACCTCCCCCTGTGTGGGTCTGTTACCTTATCTACTTTATCCGTGGGGTGGACCGTTTTAGATGTAGTCTTCCTGTACTCCGGCTTAAATGCCTCGATTCCAGCAGCCAGCTCTTTACTGTCACCAGAGTGTGCCACCACGTTAGGGAAAAACAGAGTCGGCAAGGTAGCTAGAAAAATAAAACAGAGTCGGCAAGGTAGCTAGAAAAATAAAACCAGAGTCGACAAGGTAGCTACAAAAATAAAACAGAGTTGGCAAGGTAGATAGAAAAATAAAACAGAGTTGGCAAGGTAGCTAGAAAAATAAAACAGAGGCGGCAAGGTAGCTAGAAAAATACAAGAGACCCAAGGGCCTTGAATCGCTCTTCTGATAAACTGTACAACCTATCACTTCTATTTGAAGCCTCTAAGTATCCTGTATACTTAGATAAACCCTTGAAATTTTAATTCACACACTGAGAACCCAAGATGATTCTAAGCCAATTAGTACCTGAGAATTATCATGGTGACCTACTTATCATTTGTCATTCTCTTAGAACCCTTCAACTAAGTTTGATGATTCTAAGCCAAAGTGACCTACTTTTCAGTTGTTGTACTCCAAGGACCCAAGATGTATCAAATGACAAAGTTTGATGATTCTAAGCCAATAAGTACCTGAAATATTTAATTAAAGCCATAAATTTTCAAAAGTAGGTCATGGTGACCTACTTTTCAGTTGTTGTTCTCCGGGGACCCAAGATACATCGACTGACAAAGTTTGATGATTCTAAGCCAATTAGTACCCAAAATATTTAATTAAAGCAATAAATTTTCAAAAGTAGGTCACAGTGACCTACTTTTCAGTCAACCTACTCTGAAGACCCAAGATAGATCAACTGACAAAATTTGATGATTCTAAGCCAAATAGTACCCAAAAATATTAAATACAGCCATAAAATTTCAAAAGTAGGTCACTGTGACCTACTTTACAGTTGTTGTACTACAAGGACCCAAGATGCATCAACTGACAAAGTTTGATGATTCTAAACCAATTAGTACCTGAAATATTTAATTAAAGCCATAAATTTTCAGAAGTAGGTCACGGTGTCCTGCTTTTCAGTCAACCTACTCCGAAGACCCAAGATGCATCAACTGACAAAGTTTGATGATTCTATGCCAATTAGTACCTGAAATATTTAATTAAAGCCATAAATTTTCAAAAGTAGGTCACAGTGACCTACTTTCCAGTCGACCTACTCCGAAGACCCAAGATGCATCAACTGACAAAGTTTGCTGATTCTAAGCCAAGTATTCCCTTAAATATTTAATTATAGTCATATAAATTGAAAAGTAGGTCACGGTGACCTACTTTTCAGTTGACGTTTTTTGAGGACTCAAGATGCATCAACTTACAAAGCCTTAAAAGATGCATCAACATACAAAGCTTAAAATGTCCAAATTATGCCTCTAAAACACTTTGAAATGCCTGCAAAGTTCAAAAAGTACGTCATTGTGAAGGTGACCTACTTTTTAGTTGACGTACTTCGAGGACCCAAGACACATCAACTGACAAAGTTTAATGATCATAGGCCTTAAATTGTTCAAAATATGCCTCAATATCATTTTGAAAAAGAATGGCCGCAAAATTTAAAAAGTAGGTCAAGGTGACCTACTTTTGAGTCAACATGATATGAGGTCCTTAGATGCATCAACTGACAAGATTTGATGATCCTAAGCAAAATATCAACATTTTAATAAAATGTAATTTTTGGTCAACTTTGAAGTGACCTTGAGACCACGTCCTTTGCCCCAGGGTAAATCTCAGTGCAAATTTTAATCTACAACATATCCTCATCTTTTTGTGTAAGTTTGGTGATAATCTGCCCAGTGGTTCTTGAGAAGATTTTTTAGCAACCAGTACTTTTTTTTCTATTTTCCTAATCATCTCCCCTTGTTTAAGGGTCACAACCCTAGTTTTAGTACAAAAAGGAGCCCTTGGGCCAAGGATATCCTGTGACAAATTTGACAAAAATTGGCCAAGGGGTTCTTGAGTTATGGCCCATATTCTAAAGAGTTTAGTATGCACACTGCACAAATGGCCATAGCAAAACAAAGTCTGCAAGGTAGAAAAATAAAACAGATTATAAGGCTCCATTTTTGTCTAGAACTTGAAAAACCACTGAAGAATTTTATCTTTGGGAAAAATAGAGTACAGATTGTGGCTAGAAAAAGAAAACATTTAAAATTTAACCAGACACTGCAGGGAAAACCGTATAAGAGGGACAAAAAGAAACCTTAAAGATGAAATACAGCATGTTTTATCAGTCATAAATTAGATTGGTTACTATGGTGACCTACCATGTTCTCCCAGAATTCCAGCTCGTATGGCACTACTTCCTATGTCTATCAGGATCACTTTCTAAAATCACAGAAAAAGTTTATATTTAGGTATCAGTTAACAAGATCATAAAACAAGAAAAGAAGCATGAATTGCACTTTACGAGACTTTAACAGACTAAATGTTCACATAATATAATATGTGGTTTTCTTAATTCAATGTAGGGTAACTTGAGCTAGTGGTTAAACCTTTAGCTCGATTGGTAGAGCACTGGACTACCATGCCAGAGGTCCACGGTTCAACCCCAAGGGGAGGCAAAGCCTATCTCTGTTACAAATGCACTTGTATTCAGTCCTTCTCTAATATTAACAAACTCAACACCACAAATTTGTTAACTGTAATTTTAGTGGAGAAGTATTTTAGTACACTACGTTATTTTAGCAGACTACATTAGCAATTCTTAAAGAAATGTTTGTAGAAGACACTTATAATCTAAAGGCATGACAATTTTTATACACCGCATGACTTTAATAGCTGTGATAAAAGTATAAGTTGGGATTTAGATATAATGCAAACTTGTCATTCAGGAGTGCGGGATACTGTTGAGCCACTTAAGGAATTATCAATAGTCATTACATACTTTAAGAGGATATGGGGAGGGGGGGGGGGGGAGGGGGATTAGAAAGACCTCCTGGGAATGAACAATATTTCCTGTTTTTAAATCCTGTATAAGGACTTAAATTTGGGAAATATTTCTTTACTGTATTTTTCTTCTGCACCAAATTATGGTGAGAATTGTGTAAATTCATGCCAACATCAAAGTTGTCCTCAACATGTATATAATGAATTCATTGTTTCTTGCCTTCATGAACTAATAATGAACGCTTAAGTTATTTTCAGTTATTTTACAGGGATATTCTTACAACACGTACTTTCTGAGGATGTGGGGAACATGACAACACTGGTCGTACATAGGTGGCCTTGACATTGTCTGCTGTCTGCGACTCTAACGCTAACTTCCACTGACCGTATTCCTTGTCTGTGGGACAACGAACCATCAGGTACTTCCCCCTCTGTCAAACGAACAAAAAAAATAAATAAATGAACAAAATTTTATAAAATTCCTGATGTTTGAATTAGATAGGTTATGCTGTTTAAAAACTAAAAAGACTGAAATTATCCAAAAATTAAATTTGCATTTCTAGCTATCACTAAATGAGGAAAATTTTAAGAAGAAATTAATAGCTACCAAATGTACAACATACCCCATCATCAATACCCAGAATTCTGTTCCCGAGGTCATCCACTTTTCCTCCCATCAGCTGCAGCGTATCACTGGGCTTGTCTCGGTTACTTGTCTTAAAAAAATTATTATTTATTTATTGCTTAAGACATACATCTTATCACATTTCAACATATAATACAAAATATTACAAAATGGCATTGTATAGCGGTCCTTATTGATTACAAAAATATAATACAATATAACAATCATGATTTCATGGAGAATTACCATATGAGAGAATGCTTTCTCTCAATTTAAAAGCAAAATGAATATATTTCCCTAAATTACAAAGATCATGGACATTGCGTGTACCTAATAATTGTACAAATTTAAAACAGATGGTTTTTGCCAGTAATACAATTTGATATATTTTTTAAAAGAGATTCAAACAGTCTGGTGAATAACATCAAGACAACAAAGAAGTACATTGTATAGTTATGGTCTTCTAAGGTCACATAATTATATGTATAAAATATGTCCTTAACCATTCAATGAAAAGCCATGCATTAGGCTGTGATAAATTTAACTGTGATTCAACAGTAGACAGCCTGCTTAAAACCTGAGTGTAATTACAGCCCTTAAGTTTACCATCACTTCTAATGGGCATGTAAATAGCGAACATCAACAGAATGACAAATGTTTCACTACTGACCTCATAATAATACAGCCAACCATCCTTAGCTCGGAAGAATCTCCGTTTCCAGGTTTTCAGAAGAGTAGCCTTTTTCTTGTTCATGGGAAGTTTCTCCATCAGTCCTTCCATGGCAACAAATTTATCAGAGATGTCCTTAGCATCCTGGAATAGATCAGAAACGGACATTTATTGAAATTGGTCTGGAAAAAAATATACTGTATGTGAACATTTTCTTCTGAGTTCTGATATACACTTTTATGACTATAGATATCAAGCTTCAAAGTTTGTTTTTGAAACAAAATACTACTTGTAATACTTCAATACTGGTTACTGTAACATTATAATTTTCAGTTGGCTTGAAAAATGCTTACATCTGGCATTAGCTGGACTGCATACAAATCATTCAGTAATTTGGTCTGAAAAGATATAATGTAATGAAAAAAAATTATCCCTCAACTTGTTTCAAAGTTAGCAATTAACTTTAAGTTGCAACACATTATCTTATATCTACATGAAACCATTCTATTAAACTTACAATGACTATCAAGGAACTATTATTTTCTAATCGTATGATCCTACAGGTCAAAGCATTTTAATGGGAAATTCTTTTGGAACTCAACATTTGATAAATTGATTATTCACATCCTTTGGAATTCAATATTTGATAGAATGATTATACACATCCTTTGGAATTCAATATTTGATAGAATGATTATACACATCCTTTGGAATTCAATATTTGACAGAATGATTATACACATCCTTTGGAATTCAATATTTGATAGAATGATTATACATATCTTTTGGAACTCAACATTTGATAGAATGATTATTAACATTTTTGACTTACAGGGTCCCAGTTGCTGAGGTTGACTCTGACAGGGGCCACTTCATCTTCTTCTTCTTCTGTTTCCACGGGAACACCTGCCTGCTCCTCTTCACTGAGAAGCTTCTGTTTGGATGCTGCATCCTCTTTGCCATCAAGAGTTTGTGTGACCTCTGCTTCCTTTTCCTCAGACTCTGTTCATTCAAAACAAAATCAAATATATAAATAAATATATAATTTCTCTTCAAACATTAAATGAATCCAATTTAAAAAAAAAAAAAATGAATGTTCTTTCAAATCAATTTCATTCATCAACCTTTAATATGAAAAAGTATATATTTTCTTTCATTTATACTAAATATACTAAGTGCTGTAATTCCATTCACCTGAAACTCCAGTGATACGAGAAGCTGAGGGATATATACTTGATTTAAATTTTAGTAATTTTACAGCTGAGCACATGGTGCAGTATCAACTGAAATCAAGCATGTAAAGCTACAGTCTGATGTCAGTCCTCCATTGATTGGGTACCTACTACCAGTACAACACTGGAGTACGATTTATTCTTTCTGTTTCTTACGTGTAGACTTATTATTATCTTTATCTTCCTTAGCTATTAAATTGATGTGTATTTCACTTTTATGTCTCTTAAAACTTTTGACTAAATCTGATATAAATTTTTTCACCAGTTTTATCTGATTCCAAAATGATAACTTAATTAAGACACAGTCATCTAAATGATAACTTAAGACACAGTCATCTAAAGGCTTTAAAGATTCTTATTATTTGTAAGATATTAATCCATTGCAAAACTGCAGGGTCAAATAAAATGTCAGTAAAATAAACATACAAATTATATCCATGGATGTGTCAAATTAAATTGAGTTTTATGATCTTTCCTTAATATCTATTTGATGTAATCTTTCATTTGTTAAACTATGTTTTATATGTCTATAGAGTGTTCATATCATTCCCAAGTTCTTAAATTAAATTAAGTTACTTTTTTGGATACAAAGTAGTGCTCCACACAACCATGCAAGCTGAAAGCATGGCAAACACATAGCTTCTGAGATTTTCCTTCTCTAGTAAAACTCCTACGATGGCATGAGAACTTTTCATAAAAGCATTTATTGCCATTATATCAACTTCACATGAAAGCAAACTTCACAGGAGAGCATATCAACAGAGTATGAAGTGCGAGGTTGATATCTAAGATAGAAGCAAAATAAAGCCCCATGAGTAAGCTTAAAGCTCATTTGCTTCTGATTTCATACACTATAGGCTGCAGTCAGACTTCGTGGGATAATCTGATGTCAGTGGACCATACTAAAAATCATGAATTTGGATACGGTACCATATATTTAAAGGATATCAAACCCATGAAAATAAAAGATATATTTCATTACACTTTCACTTTTCAATGATGTTTAACATCAATCATTTAACAACATCCAATCTGGATATCTGTATTATCTTGTTTACACTGATCTTAGAATAAAAGCCATTACAGTAAAACACGCTTATAACAAAGTGCCAGGGACAGATGATTTTGCTTCGTTATAAGCATAATTTGTTATATCTGTTAAATTAAAAGATATATTTTAAAGTGGGGACTGAAAATTACATTCTTATAAGCGTCAATTCATTATAAGCTGTTCGCTATAAGTGTGTTTTACTGTAATTTAATTAACAACTTAGTTAACAACTAAGTATTAATAAATTGATAATAATAAATTTGAGTAAGTTGTCAGATAAATCTGTATTTTTTTTTCTGGCTTTTTAGATGTATAAGCTAATACTTTCATTAAACTAATGCTGGTACTGTTCTTGCACAATAAATTGACCAGACGTCATCTTTGATTTCTATTTTTTCTGTGATGTCTCCTAACCGAAAAGCACCATAGATTGGACTATATAGTCATTCAAAGATTACACCACCCAGTCAACTTATTATGCATGAAAATTTATATTTTTATTTGCATTATTTTCCATGGTTAAGGAAGCTCTAAACACTGCACACTAAAGAGTTCTAATTGTAGGGTAATTTTATACAGTTAGAGTGATCTGCCTTTAGAAGTAAGATACAAAGAATGGTTATTTATAGTTAATTACACAATTTGTAATAGATTAAAATATTCGTAGCATTATATTAGACCAATAATAAGTAATTGAATTCATTATTTCCATTAATTTGCCCAATGTTGGTAAACAACAGTAATTTCTGTTCACGCTTAGTCCATTGTCTTTGAACATTTTTCTTGCAGGAATAAGGCAGGTACCCTATGTTGAAAATGAATTAAATAGTCTCAATATGCACACCTTTATATATGATATATTTTTCTCCAAGTCCAAAAAGCACTTTTTGTTAGTGTTTTATAGAGCTTCCTTAACCTAACAACAGAAAGTCATATAATGGGAGTTATTTCCCTTGAGGAAAGTTCAATTGTGGTCAAAACAAGAACAACAGGTTTGGATGTTAGGAGTGTCATAACAATTTAATATTTCAGTAATAATGATAAAAATAATTGCATAAAATTGGCATGTGCAGACAGTCAAAAGCAGCAATGGCTGAATAAGCAATATATAGATATCAACATATCCTACAATAACACATTTTACAGACAACAGTAATTTAAGTCAATTCATAATTCAGATTTTCAATTAAAAAAATCAATTGAATATTTTATTTCATGCATACACTGTAACACATTCAATCAAATAAACTGCATTACATGCTAAGTTACTTAATAAGATTTAACCAAAGAATATCAACCACCCATAAATATACTTATGTTCATGAAAAAAAAATCTAATATGGTTTGTATAAACTCCTTCTTTAAACTTGTAATTTTCACAAACTGTAACTGCATCCAATAAAAAATTTTCAGAAAAAAATTTACATAGGAGTGAGTGTTTAAGCACAAATATTGGGTGGATTTTTCCCCCCCAAAATACAAATTCATTTAGCAATTTAAATTTGGCATCTTTTCTACTAAAGGGTATATTATGTCTCTTTTTTCCCACCATAGATCATATTAGTTTCTTGTTCTAAAGAAATGAAATTAAAATATCGAAATCTAGAACAAGGCATTTGGGTAAGGACTTTGATAACAAAATTCTCAACAAATTGTTTAATGGTCTAGCTATCTCATTGCAAACAATTATAAAATTTTATGCTTATCAAAATAAATCATGCCATGCATTAATTTTTTCAAAACTCATGCATTCTTCTTGATTTGAAATGAGATTCTAACTAAAGTCTACTTTTTTTCTACTGAATGAGTTAAACACTATTGGATTTATATATTCAAGGCTAATATGCACTGCTGTTACATTTTTTTAAAAGCAAGACTTTTTCTTCTCTCTTCAAAAACAAATATTAAGCATTCCATTTTAATAACCCTTATACATCATTCAATTATAAAGTGTGGATTTCTGAATTTGTTCAAAATATCAGTCCCCCTCTCCTCTTTTATTCCACACAATCCCAAATTTAAATTCCTCTGCATCTTTTTTTTTGGAACTTCTGTTGTGTATGTGGACTTAAGTAACTTAGATATCTCCATAATTAAACAAGGAAAATGGAAACATTTTCCTCAGGGCCTTTTAATAATTTTTTATTGCAGGATCTGAATATTAATATTTTTTAATCAACAGACAGGCAGACATTGCAGTACTGGAACTGATATTAACATACTCAGGGCTATGTTTCTATGTTTCCCACAGACAATATATGTTTGAATATCATTTAGTATGAAAATATTTTAATTCTAGTAGCACTTACAATCTCATGTAAATTTTTTTCTTTTAAATTGGGTGGGAAAAAAACATGGCTAATTGTGGAAGCTAGGAGTTTGTTATTTTCTGATTTCATCACTGGCATGCAATTTTTTTTTTCAAATGATCTCCAGGGGAACATAATTAATGCAGGAATCCAGACACAGACACGCTATAAATTCTCAGCTCAGAAACAACACTTACTATCACATAATTAGCTTCTTGACACAAATACATATATATTAATTAATATTTCTTGTTAGGAATCTGGATAATATATAAATGTAAGCATTTAAATTGATATAAACTGTCTATTAAAACCAACAATTTCAACTTTTCCTTTCACATATTAGTAACATCTTTTGATGTATTCAACAAGGTAAAAAATCAGCCAGGTGAAAAATCACAGGCCTGTAAAACTGGTCGCGATATTTGATGTTAATGTAAGATGTTTATGTTACCCGAATGACAAATTCATTGAGTTTTTTTCATTCTTTTATCTGTTATAATAACTATTAAAAACATCCACAAAAACTTGTGTTGACCAGTTTTACAAATACATAAAAAAGAATTAAAACAAAATATATATAAAAAAATTCTGCAAAATTACAAGCATTAAACAACAATGCATTAATTTAAGCTGATTCATAAAACATCAAGATGCGTCTGTGAGCACAAATGCCCCATGGGATAAACTATATCTATGGTGAAGGGAATTTCCATTAGACATTTGACCTGTATGTCTGATGATTTAAAATGTTATGACCTTGATCTTAAAGAATAATAAATTATTCTAAGCTTTGGGCTTTAAATCAGCCAAAGCAGAAGAAAGGTTATCACAGAAAAAAATACCATCTTGATTTTATGAAACAAACATAACAAAAAATGCTCAAGGATATGTTTGGCAAGCAGATAACAAGCTCTGGATACATATAGGTGGCAAGCAATGCAAAGTCAGTAAAACTGATCACTGGGATGCTGGTAGGAGTTACCTGCCCTTGGTGGTGGAAGAGAGAGCTTCACATTAGACATTGGTGTATTCTCATTTTGATTACTGTCACTTTCAAGTTTCATAACTTCCTTCTCAGCAATGTTTTTAGAGATATTTTCAGCATATGTTTTCAAGTCAGGTCCAAGAAAATGGCTGTTTGTATATGGAATGGTATCAATGAATACCTGTGTTACATCTGAGTCTTCATTTGCTTCACAGTTGTTATATCCCATAGCTTCATCCAGATCAGTTTCCAGCAGACTGGATTGTGACCCTAGGCCAGAGAGATCCAGCCTTTCATCACTTCTAAGTACATTTTTAGTATTCATTTTAGAATTTCCGTTGACCAGATTTTTCTCTGATGACGTCGATGATACAGATGTGGACCTCTGTTTCTTCGCTGTACGTGTTTTTCCTTTCTTGCTTTCCTCTTCATCCTTCAATGGTTCTTTGCGATACCATTTCCCTGATGATCTCTGTCCACTTGGTCCCACAGAAGTTCGTTGGCGATCACTCCTGATAAAAGGATTGTCATTCATAGTGGTAAATCCCTCCTGTTCCTCATCTGTGACAGTTTTCCTTGGTGTGGTGGGTGTTCCTTTCTTCTGCTTATTCTCCTCCATAAGCTCCTCACTGTTTCCTATTGACTTCTTTCTCCTGCTAGACTTTGTGGGTTGCATGTATCCAGGCAAACCATTCCTTTCACTCAATTCATCATCGCTTTGCCTCTCTGCAGATGCCTCCCGTTTCTTTCTTTCAGGCGTCTTTTCCCTCTTTCCTGGTTTAGGTGTAGTTGGACGTCTCTTACCCTCAGGCTTTTTCTCAGTTGTCTGCTCACCATTTTCAAAGAGAAGATCCTGCATACTGGAAACTTTTTCTTTCCTAACTTTAGAACTTCCTTTGCTTACTTCACCATTACTTAGTCCTGCTGAGTTTGTTGCTGTTTTCTTGCTCCTGGGTGTTGTTGCACCTTCCCTAACTGGACTTTGCTTTCTAGAAGTGGCTGGACTTTTTCTAGATGGACTTAGTTTCCTAGGAGTAGTAGCTGGACTTTTTCTTGTTGGACTTTGTTTCCTAGGTGTAGTGGCTGGGCTTTTTCTTGTTGGACTTTGTTTCCTAGGTGTAGTGGCTGGACTTTTTCTTGTTGGACTTTGTTTCCTAGGTGTAGTGGCTGGACTTTTTCTTGTTGGACTTTGTTTCCTAGGTGTAGTGGCTGGACTTTTTCTTGCAGGACTCTGCTTTCTTGGAGTGGTTGCTGGACTTTTCTTTGTGGTCAGTTCTCTTGCAGAATTGTTTCTTTTGACAGCAGAGGGACTTTGTTTTCCCAGAGTAACAGCTGGACTCTTATCTACTTGCCTCTGATTCATTGATGAGGTCAAAGATGGACTTTTTGGTGATGCTGTCACAGAATTCTGCGATGAAGAAGATTTTGATGAGGCATTGGTATCTGAAGATGAAATAGATCTTTCCACTTTGTTTTGCCCTTCATTTTCTACTCCAAGCTTTAACTTCAATTCTTCTTTTACTTTCTGAACATCTCTGTCTTTAGCAGAGGCGATAAAACCTTCCTGAATGTTAATTTTATTGTTACAACAAGGACACACAAGTTCTCCTAGAGTTTGAACAAATTTATCATAATTTTCTGAATCAATCTGCACACCAATATTTCTAGCCCTTATTAACATTTGAGTCCCACTGTCCCGCATATTCAATGATGACATATTAGTTTGTATGGAAGAATCCCTCTTTTCTAGCACTGCACTGGTTTTGGAAGTCTCAGTACTGTGTACAGATTCATTTGTAATTGTTTTCCCATCCTCCAACACTTCTTTGCTGCCCAGGCTTCCTCTAGAATCAAAATCACCAAGAGTAGAATTCACAGACAGCTGACTTCCATGGTCACTAGATTTCACACCAAGGTCTTTCTCATGCACTGTGTTATTAGAAGGAAATATGTTGCTATCCATCCATTCCTTGACATGACCAAGTCTAGAGCTTTCAGCTTCTGGTTTCACTTCCTCAGAATGTTTTTCTCCAAGTAGAGTCTTTTTGCTGAGTTTTCTCTTCCTTACTTTGGATCCTTCAGTCACATAAATGAATTTCTCCCTATGCTCTACAAAAACATTTCCCTCTTCATCCACATACTCCCCTGGTGTTGCTTCATAAAACTCTTCCTCTGAAGCTGTTTCAAACTGTTCACTATCAGCTTGAAGTTGACTGATTTTGTCAGAGCTGACTTCCTGATTCTTTTTCACAGCAAGCAGACCTTCATCCATTGTTACAAAATCTGCCTCATGAATCTGGGACTTGGTGGTCTGATTGCGTTCATCATTTGACTTGCAAGATGTTGCCTTTGAGACACTGCTCTCAGTTTTGCTGGACACTGATTCGCTTCCCTCTTCTTTTCCGTTCAGAGAGAGGAGATCCTCCGTGGCCACGGACGTCTTCTCACTTTTGTGGTCAATGTCACTAATCATGCTTTCCAGCTGTTCTCCTACAGATGCACCTGAATCTTTCTGTCTATTCTCAACAGAGTCTTCTATGGTTACAGTCAAAATGTCTTCACTCTGAGAAATCTCAATTTTCTTGCCATCTAGACTTTTACTGTCAATACTACTGGAGGAGTCAGATTTATTATCTGTTTCTTTTTTCCTCTTTCCCTTCTTTTTCTTTTTATTCTTTCCTTTGGATGAAATTTGTTTCTTGGGGCTGGGACTGCTGTCATTTGTTTTCTGGGTTTTGACACTCTCTGATTGGCTATCAACTTTAGAATTTTTCAATAGTTCTGCTTTATTTACTTGAGCAGAACTTTTTGCTTCATTTTGGACTGATTCTTCCAATTTCTTTTTAACTTGTGATGAGTTAGATGCTGTTCTATTAATCAATGTAATTTCTTCATCCTGATCAACACACTTGATACTTTCACTCACTTTTTTACTACTGTCCAATTGAGGTTCTGATGTCAGCTGAATAATGTCTCCTTTTTCGAGCAGAACTTCAGAAACATTATCTTCAACATCTACTGACTGACCATGACTTTCACTAATTTCTTCAGTGTTTAAGTTTTCTGTCACATTTTCTGTCTCTTCTACAGGAACTTGAGATTCAGTCAATTGTTGTGTCACATCTTCAGTCTCTTCTTCAGGAACTAGAGAATCAGTCAATTGTTCTGTTTGAAGTCTCAAGTTTCTGAATTGTTCATCACTATCACTCACTTCAGGTTCATCTGTTATACCTAGTAACATTCTCTTGGCATTCTCCAACACTGAGCTGACTCCGCCTGATCGAGCTAGGGGCTTGTTACGACTCTCACTCATTGGGTTCATCCCACTCATTCTACTTCGAATATTTGAAATAAATTCATTCATCCCTAGATCTGGTTGAGTAGAAGGACTGTCATACTGACTTCTGTAATCACTATCACTATTAGTTCTTCTGTACTGACTGAGTATAGAGTCAGTGTCACTATTTGTCTCACTCGATCTTATGAATCGACCGAGTCTCGAGTCAGTGTCACTCTCCACTCTCTGGCTGTAGCTCCTCCTCAAACTCCTCGGTTGCTCTTCAGTCCTCCTCAAACTCTTTGAAGAATCCTCAGACCTCCTTTGTGCATCATTTCCATCGAGCACACTGTCAAACTTTTTAAAACTATCACTTAAAATGTTTCCCAGCCTACTGGATATGTCCTCTTGTCTTGTGTCTCGGTAAGAAGTTGAGCTGTTGTCATCTCCATATGAGCTTGTGTAAGGTTCTGGATAATCTCGATTGAGATATCTCGATCTGAACTCAGACACACGACTGTCTGCACTGCTAGGTAAGGATGCATATCTAGTGATTCTTGTTGTGGGTTGTTTTGTCCTGTTAGCCGTCAGAACCTCACGTCTGGATTGTTTCGGAGCATATCCACTGCTTCTATCAAAACTTGGTCTGTCTGTCTGCCAGGTATTCCTATATGAAGTGTAACTTTCTCCTCCCCAGCGATCACTCTGCCAAGAGTCTCTGTCGGGAAATGTGTCCTCCTCCACAACATTCTCGTATCTAGAGTCAAAGATGCTGTCACTTTCATTCAGAATGCTGTCTTTGTAATTGGAATTCTCTGCAGGACTTGGAACACTGAAATCAGATGTCTGTTCACTAACACTAAATGATCCATGTACAACTCTGTCTAATAAACCATTTATTGAGGAATTATTTTTCTCTGTAACTTCACCATTGGTTTCAGTAGTGTTCCTTTGAATGTCATGTTCAGATAATACAGTGTCATGGCCTAATAGAGTGTCAGTGTTACTTTCACTTCCCCCTGTCATAGTTAAACTTTCCCCATCAAATACTAGTGCTTTTCCACTTTCACTTTGTTGTTCATTGATAGTTTCTGACTTTTCTGTAGATACACTTGACTTCACAGTGCTAGTGTCCATATTTGAATCTAATCCTCCATTTTTCACATCAGCTTGTTCATGACTAGTCTCATACTTTTCACCATTCACTATTGTTGACTTATCTTTACTTTGAGGAACGTTCTTTCTCCACCGAGCAGAGTCTCCCAGTTTTACCTTACTTTCACTTTTACTTGAAGTCATTATCCTGTTTGACAATTTAGAAGAGTCTATTAAGCTAGAGTGTTCAGTGAATGGCACCAGCACTTTTTCCTGTTGGGTTGATTTTGTCTGTGTTGTACCATATAAACTCTGTTTGAAGCTCTCGATGTCCTCTGTATGGTCAGCACTTTCTGACTCCACACTCACGTCCTGGGGTTTGATACTAGCCTCCAGTTCATCCGGATTTCCAATGGATGTTAACCTCGCTGAGGTGGCCCTGTTTAACACATTACTACTTGGCTCATGATCATCAAATGTATCACTGTCTGCTGAGAATGTCCTTTGTCTATCCTTTCCTATTAAGCTGTCGCTCTCCCTCTTCCTTATAGATGCCAGGATTTCTGACTTTTCGGATGAGTTTCCTCTAAGTGAGGCACTGAAATTTTTGGGTCTGGCTCCACCATAGTCAGCCCTGCCATTAGCTTCCTGTGACAAACTTGAGCTCTGTGATTTCTTCTCCAGGGTGGCTTTGAGCCGTTCTCCTTGTTTTTCTCTGAGCCGGCTTGTTGGTAAGGTCCTGGTATTGAGAAGCTGCCTACGACTGAGCCTAGATCCCTCCGAGTCCCCGCTGTCCGTGCGAGGGGGTAGAGTACTAGTACTTTCTCTCTTTTCTCTTAGCTGTTTGAGTTCTTGTAAACGTTCCAGACGTGACCTCACTTCATCATTTGGAGGAGGCCAAATGTTTGTCATTAATGAACTGTAGGACATTTTTCAACTTACTGTTAAAGTTCTGATTCAATGAATTTGATATATCTTCAAACACATATCATGCAAAGTTGGTCTCTGTCAATCAATGGCACACGTTGTCATCTTGTAAGATAAATTGTTCCCTTAATAAATATACAAACACACTAAGGCTAGCAGTTATGTCCTTGTTACTTATAAATCCGTATAAAACATCAACTTTCTGACATGGTTATTCCAACAGTTTATAAAACATTCCCTCCACATTTTAAATTGACACAAAACAAGTCCTACACAGATTACAGTCATGCATCATTGCCCTGTCATGCATTCCTGTCTTACATGCCGGCAAAGTTAACAACTAACTCTCCGTAGCTGCGTTACTCTATCGATTCCACAGAACACAGATAAAATGATGAGTTCGTTGGCAGACTGTAAAATTCCTCACACTATTTATAATCACTGTTCTCTAATACAATTGTCGGTTAGGTTGGTTTGGTCCGTACAAAGTAAACATGCTGCCTCGACCCAGGTGGGCTACAAATACACACTCTCTATTGATTATGCAATGTAAGATGATTTAAAAGGGGCTGGTTAAAAATTCAGTTGACAAGGTTCCCTGTCCTTTGATCACTGATCTTTTTTTTTTATAACAAAACAGGTTCTACTTATGAGTTACATCTAGGTCCCTTACTTCCTTTGAAGAATATAAAACATTGGTAAGTTGGTTGGTAAAAGTCTTGTTCCTTTAATGCGGCACAGCCCACAATTTAGTGAAGAGTTCATGTTATTTCTCCCAACAGAGGGGGACTTTTAAATGTCTAATCAGAATGTCTGTTTCTCAGAAAACACTTATAATCCCTGATAAATAAAAGTCCTGATCAATGAAAAAATACTATTCCAGGAGTTCATGTATTAATCTATGTGTATATCCTGGTTCACTCTTGCCCTACAGAAAGACAGATCAATATTTCCACCAGGTTTGGCTGAACTGTGTGACATTAAGTTTTAAATCTTTTGGATTTCATACTTCTAAAACCTTGTCAATTGTCATTAAGGGCAAGGTTAGGCATGCAGCTATAATTGTTCAAGCATGTACTTCAGAAATAGCACTACCACTCTTTCCCTGTATAATGAAATGAAATGAATGCTAAACAGAAGTGGTGATTAGGTAATTAAAACGGCACTTTATCCTGTTCAGTTAGTGCTATAAACTCTCTCTTTTATCTCCAGCACACCTTTGCCCCCTCAGGCTTGACAGGTAGACCATATCTAATTAAGTCCAGGGCGGGAGAGACCTGCTCCACCGACCAGAACACCAACACAGAACAGGTCACAATGGTCCATGATACAACATTGTAATTTGATTCTCCCATTGAAAGTAGACAGTGATATACAGATCTTAGACAAACTTAATTAAGATATGACTGTTCAAGGATTTTAATTTATTTATGTCAATGAAGAATTACAAAGGCTGGGGCTTGCTGAATGTTAAATGTATTTTCATGGCCCAATGTTGGACAAATTGATTGTAGTATACCGACCCTGTGATTATTATGGACGTGTTGGCCCCTGAAAGTTTCTGTCCAGATGTTTCAATAATGTAATTGACGTACTGTGACGTTACGCAAAACTGGATAAAAACAGACATAAAAAGATACATTACTACCTTTATTTATTGTCACCACTGATGTTCTTTAGACCACAACAAAATGTCTTATCTCATACACATTGTGTCACATAATACAATATCAGGACAGCTAGACTGCACAATTCCTATCCATGCATAAAATCCAAGTCATCTACAAAATATCTTGGCCCAACAAAAACAATTGTTCTGGGAAAGATTTGTGTTGGGTTCCAGAGAGATTAGACCTTCTAAGCCTATTCACAAAAACACAAGCATGAGGGGTGTATTATTAAGTGTACTTGAGACGATTACAATGTATAGATATGTATTTACCATTATTATGCAGCTGTACTACAATGCAGGTGGACAACTACAACAAAACATGGCTAACAAAAACAACGTACATAGCCAGCAGCAAAATAAAAATTAATTCATGAAGTCTTAATTCCCCAGGGATAATTGTGCATTAGATTTTGCTAAATCTGCACCCAGAAAACTGTCTCCTAGCTTTAGAACTACATTGTTATGACATGGTTTAGCTGTACAAGGAGCCAAACATTTATCAGAATATTACAAACCGCAGTATGAAAAATTTACAAACTTTTACCCATAGATGAACTGTTGTAATTTATTCAAAACTAGAAACATTTGATTTCACCTGGAGTGTTTTACCTGAGCCTACCAGCTGATAAACCCTTTTTTTTCCTGATTCTGTCTGTGGGAGTATTTACCTGTAAGCTTTAGATGTATTTAAGTTTGGGCAGAGTTTACAATGTTGATTTTTGTGTTACTTATTAATGCTATGAATCATATTCAGCCTACGGAATTCCTCTGCCGACCAGAAACCAAAGACTGGGAGTGCTGACTTAACCAAGGATAAAAAACAACTTGACACATTTTACCAAACAAAAAAAAAACCCTAAGTCGGTCAAAACGAACCAGATTTCTATTATATAACATAGATTTTATCCTTGGATGTAAATGTAATGGTGTAATGTTTTCTAATGTAAGAATTTCTTTTTTAGAATCATTCAACCAAGTTAATTATCATAATCTTTTCATTTGCCTAACATGAATTTTTCTGCTTTATATCTGCATTAAATGCCAGCAAACAGAAGACAGACACTTAATGGGGTATAATTATGATCACGTCTGTCATTTTTTATTGCCATATTTACTGTCACTATTGCATGGAAAAGGAAGATTCGATCCACTTAACATGCTTAAAGCATGAATTTTTTTTTTAGTTTCTGAGATCATAATGTTTATAAAAATACAACAATGCATGAATTAACTTTTAAAGCATTTTAAGATTACAATATATAATAGTTTTTGGTACTGGCACACGCTTTACTTAAGCATGCAATTTTTTTTTTTTTTTTGAAATTCAATCATGTCATATAATAAATTCTCTCTTCAGTGCTTTCAGAAAAAAAACTTTGTGTCACAAAATGATCTACAATTAACAATCTCTGCATAAAACCACCTAACCACAGAGTTAGGGCCATCAGCAAACCAACCTATCTGACCCCCACACCAACAACTGTTAGACTCTAGTATCGAGAAAGGATTCAAAAAATTTCTCTTACCATCAGGTAACAAAACTTTGCAGTATTTAATCTGTAGCACCCAGGTTAAAGTGAGAAAAACTGGACAAAAATTATCCTCCGACAATTAATTGATTACCTTCCAGCCACCCCTCTAGATCCACCTCCTCACCCTCCACTTCCTGTGGATCGTCATCCTCCCACATCGTTATGGTTACCATTTGATCTGATTTTCCTGCTATTCAAAATTCTCCCAACTCTAGTACCATGCAACACCAAATGAAGTTATAATTGGATAGATGCACGTGAAACCTCTCTCCTAATTGAACCTAAATGCCTTTTGATGTTCATTTTTTCCTTTAACTGTATACAGTGCAAAATGATAAATTTGTAAGCTGTTTGGAAACCTTTAGGGCAAAACTTGAATGATTCACTATGATTACTAATGAATGTTGATGGACTCTTTGTTATTTAGTCATGAGCTTAAATAGGGACTTCTAGAGTATACTGGCCAGTGCTCGGTACGTCTATCTTTTCCTCTGCATGAAAAAAGACCTCATCAGTGATATCAAGTTGTCATATTTTTGCCTCCAGAGAAGGCTGAAATCTGGTTCTGTGAAGGTGGTCTCGGTGTGGTAAATTATGAAATTTTTCTCTTATCAGCATATTTAATATTTCAGTGTATTCACTGAATCATAATTAAACATTTACACAGGGATTTAGTTAACAGTGTTCTCATTTTTGAAGGAGGTGGGAAGGAGGGGGGTTGCAGCAAATATGGCCCTTTTCAATTTTGATACAAGCCAAAGGAACCTCAAAACAGACAAGTTTTAGTTCCTGTGTTGCAACAATTTGAACGACAGAAAAAAATCCCTCAGTGGTAGTAGTATGTCATTAAAAAACATGCAGATTGATGGACCTTCTGTATTAAATCTTTTTCTTGCTGTTATTATTGTAAAAATCATATAGAAAAAAATTGTAAGTGTGAATCAAACAATGAAAAATTATATACTAAGGTCTTGAGAAATGTTCAAATAATGCTCAATTAATATAGTTTTAAATATATTTTCAATCATATTGAATTTAACATGTACACAGGAGAAAATACTGTAAATATATATACCATGAACTTTAAAGAGAAAAAATCACAGTCAAATGATAATCAAATTTCAAAAATATGCCTTGATCACTTTTTAATATCTTTTTGTCACATAGGATGAGCTAAAATCCTTCAAATTTTCCCACATGCTCTTTTATGTATTTGAGCAACAGAAATTTATCTGGCAATAAAAGATTGAAACCTTGGAGTAGTTTCAAGAGGATCATAAAACAGAAAGTTTGCAGAGTAAACATGACTGAAGGTAGTGTTTGTAGAGATCTATGTGACCTTGACCTCCTCTGTCTTTGGTTGATTTAGACTGTCTTCAGTATTTTTATTGGTTTCACTTTCAGTTGAGGCCCCATCAGGGTGGCCTCGCTCACATTTCACAACAGGTGGGTCGCCCCACAGTTTCTTCCTGATCAGAACAATGCGCTCCTCAAATGTATATTTAGGATCAAAACAGTCTGCCAGAAAGTGGTCTGCGACCTCGCTGGGCAGTCCACGACTCTTATATCTATTCCTGTAGGTCTCATCAATGGCTTCTCGCATGGCCTTCACACACGTGGCACCATCCTTATGGTTCAAATCCAGTGGGACATCATGGACTCTGGGGTTAGATTCAGCTCTAGCCTCCCTAATTTGATCCACAGTGGTCACCCCTTCCTCTTCAGTGCGTTCTTCTGTCAGGGGAAGCTCGGACAAATCTAAGTGAAGGTTCACCTCCTCTCGGGACGGTCTGACATCGCTTTCTGAGCTAGCAGCGAGGGAAGCCGATACAGAATTACTGATTACCTCCCTTGCTCGTGCAATCACTTCCTGGGTGGTAAGGGATGTTGACCGGGTCAGGGTGGGACCAGAGGAGAAAATATTTCTTTCACGACCAAAGAGACTTGACATGGGGGTCTCCACAGATAAATTACTGGTGGCAAGTGATGGCAAGCTTTCACTGTAATTAGATGACAAGGGGAAAAGGCTTCCCCCTGTTGAAAAAGAAGGCTGAACACGACTTACTGAGAATAACGAACTGAGATGATCTGAGTGAGCGGAATTTCTGCGATCTCGGGGACTCAAAATATCAGAATCAAAGCTGGAGGCAGCAGCACTGTCTCTCCCTTCCTTACGAATCTTATCCAGTTCCTTGAGTCTTTTCATTCGTTCAGTGCGATCATTATCAGAGAATGCCGAGTCCCATGCTGAAGGGTTAATAGCATTACTGGTAGTCTGTTCCCTTACTACATCAGTGGATGATGAAGTTGACGTCTCAGTTAAGAATGGGGAATGCTGGGACAGCTGAAGATCTGAGTGATGTCTCCTAGCTCGTCTGGAGTTCCTGATCTGTTCTCTTATGGAGAGTTGTCTTTGTGGGCGGATGTTAGGGTTGTAGTTCACATTGAAGCGTTCACGAGCTGACAAGTTAGAGTCCTCGGGTCTCTCCCTAGCTCGTCCTCTTGTCCTCAGCTCCTCAAGCTCCTGTAACTTGGCTAGACGAGTCTGCTGGTTTTCTGTCATCTCTTCTAGTTTTTTGTCTGTGTCATCAGATACTTCCCATGATGCTCCAGAGGAAATCTGTATTTCTGTGTCTGGTTTTGGTTGTTGCTCTACAGTACTAACATCAGTAGCACTGCTTGCTTTCTCAGATTTTCCAGAATTCACTTGTTCAACAGTCCCACTATCTTCTGAGTCAGTGCTGGTCCCTGGAGCAGCAGCAGCTGTACTGTCTACATTCACACTCTGTTCCATTGATTGGTTATTAGAGTCTGGGCGGTGTGTATCCTTGTATTGATCTGCACTATGTGACACATCATCAGACATGCTCTCTGATTTTTCTGCACTGCACTCTCTGTTTTCAATGATGACTAATTCAACATTTTCAGTTTTTACCTCTGAGTTTGTTGTTGACACACTAGGGGCTTCAGTCTGAGGATTACTGGCTTGCTGAGTCGTGGGCGACACATCACCTGTGGTGGCACTGATATTGCTGATGTCACCAACAGTTCTACTTTCACTTTCATTTCTCCTGTCTGAAGGTAAGTTTACTGGATTGTTGGCCTGACCTAGAGGAAAAGCTCTCATGGGTTCTCTGCCACGTCGAGCAGATGAGCGTAAACTTGACCTACCAAAGGTTGCTCGAGATCCAAACAGAAGCTCACGAGATGAGGAGGGAGCTCTCTCTACACTCGAGCTACGAGGTCTGTTACTAGACTCATGCTGTCTCCTCTGATTCTCAAGCTCTCTGAGTCTCTCTAGACGTGCTCGAGTGTTTTCATTTGGAGGGGGCCAAACATTCTGCAGAATGCTGGAGTATCTGCTATCAGATCCCTCTTTGCTCATGCTGGATCACAGAATTGACAAGAATTCAAGATTTTGTGTACAGGTGTAAATACAAAGTCACTCAATGAAGAGTTGATTTATTAAGTCAGTCACTGAAAGCTCTCCAAATTTCATTTAAATCCCACACAAAGGCTAAAATCACTTCACCAACTTAACCTTTTTTAATACTTCTAATATTTGCATAATGCTAGAAAAATAAGTTCGTGAGACACACTTTTCCCCACTTCAAACAAAGTCTTTGTGGGTGTTTGCTGAGTTATAAAAATATCGTATAAAAATGGAATGATCACAGAAAACACCGCTGTTGTATTGTTTTCCACGGTCACATGACACACCAATCCTGCGCCATTTTCTCTCCTAAATAGAAATTTAAAAATTCCCAATAGGTATGACCCACATGATTGAGATGTTACCTATACACTGCTGTCTATAAATAGACCCATTGTGAAGGGCCCCCTCTCGGCTCAGTGGAGCGTGGAAATTAAAGGGACCATTTTATGCAATGCTTACATCAAACAGCCAGGAATACAAGGAGATAAAATGTCAGATACTTAAAGATCAAAGTGGACAGATAAATAACCTGGACAATCAATCGGAGGGCTCTTACTGTGTCAATCAGTAAGACTTGACTACAGATCATCTCATTCCAGCTCCGTGTGTCTATACACTTATGTATGTAAATCACGTACAAATGATGTATCACACTTCAAATTAAACTTTTACAGTGTTCAGTGGAAATTAAGTCTCTTATCAGCCCTACATTTATTGACATTAATACACTTATCTCTTGAGAATTTTCAGTCTTCATGCAGAGTGACAATTTACTTTCCATTTTTACACACATCTATGGCCTCTTTTGACACAGATACATTATTGTAGATGTGAGGGATATTTATATATATTTAGCATATTTTTCATTTGGCAATACATGTACATAACTGGCTGCTGTGACACTTTACAGAATGGTGTATTTATAAAAATTTAAAATTCATCATGCCAGGATGATATGTTATGCAAAGATTCTTAAAATTACTATAAAAATGGATGTTTATGAGACTTTATGATCATCAAGTATTTATTTCCACAGAAATGACTCTCATGCAAGAAGAGTATCAAAAATTCCTAACTGCAAAAAAAAAAACTGTCCCAGATCAGATATACCATATATATCACTCACCTACAAGTCGGGTTTTTGGGAGTTAAATTTTAGTCCAAAACTGTATGTCAAGACTTTTAAAAAGAGTTGATCCTAAAAAGAATTCAGTATTTTTCTGGGAGAGGACGTACGTATAGTAATTCTGTAACGACTCCAATCTGTTTATAAAAATTGAAGCTTAATTTAACACAGGAAAGGAAGACCTAAGGTTAGCATATGCATAATAAAGCACAAGTATACTCATATTATAATACTATATTTGTTTAAATTGTTAATTAACATGATAGAAGATCATATATTGATGTCATATACCTCAAAACTTACTTCAAAACACAAGTAAATTGACTTATAGGTGAGCATATACAAGAGTAGCAGATTATAAGCTTTTAATTTTATATGCAATTTTTAAACTTCAAACTGGTGCACTTCCTCTGTTAATCTTATCAGTTATTGGACATGTTATACATGTTATAAGGTTGAAACAGCTAGATTATAAATTTACTGCTGTAAAGGGATTACCAACCCAGAAAATCGGTACCCATTTGATTGACGGACATAACCAGCAGTGATTGATGATGCATTGAGTTTTGTGGACCAATTAAGTCAATCAATCAAAAGTCCAAGAAAATAAAGATCACGAGGACTGCATACGCCTTATTCATTTAAGGGAAATTCAAAAATGTTATAGCTACCCGAGTTATGTTGTATAACCTTGGTTGGGGCAGTTTATGCTTTAACTGTGAAGCAGTTTATAAAAAGACAATCTTCCTTAAAAATAATTTCAAATTGTACAAAATTTAAATGTTTAACATTAAGCAGATTGATTCATTTTAACACAAGTCATATTGTGACTTAGGCAATACAGATTATATGATATGAACAGATTTTTTTCTAACCAATCAATTGGAATGGTTTATTGGTGTTATGAGCAGAATTAAATTATACATGTATCAGAATAAAATAATTTTAACAGTTTAAAATAATTTTAACAGTTTAAAATATTTATATTTTTTTTTTTTATATCTGTGACATGCACTGGATTTTTTTTTTTTTGAAAGTGATAATTCAATGAAATATAGTCCTTAAGATGCAGTTAATATTAATCATTCAAGATCTACGCGACATTTTAAGCAAATTCTTTTATGTCAAAGCTACATTATGATCAAAGCTTAATTTCAGGAGAAACTAACATTTCCTACATTTAAATTATTACTTTTTTTTATTTTAAACTGTATATATTTCCAATTAAAATCAATTTAAACTCTATTTTATCATAAGTAAGTGTATATCCTTCACATCTCAATTATTTTATAAACACTTACCTTTGACAATGTCTGTTTTACTGGGGGCTGCAGGAGTTGTCTTTCCTTTCTGAACAAACTGCTCTTTCTGTTTCTCCATTTTGGCTGAGGTATTCTGGGATTTCTGGGGGAAACTAAAGCTGCTGACAAACTTCTCCACTGTAGGACTACTCTCCACACTTCCTGATCCACTATCCACCTCATCCTCCGAGGAAGACTGCGGATCTTTTCTCTGTTTGCCGTTTGAAGATTCCGACATATTTGATGCTGTACTGCTGAAAACTTCTTTTGCTTCAGGTTTAACTACTTCAGGCACTGTATCTGATTTGCGTTTAAAATTTCTAATTTGATCTAACATTTGGTCTCGATTTTGTCCAAGGGTTTGATCCACAGCGACTGGTCGTCCCATGTGATAAACTACAGGTGGCGCTGTCGACTTCAGTCTGGGGTCCGCCTTCACCACAGCAGACACAGGTTTTGCATTGTTTGAATTATTTGTGGAGGAATTTTCAGCTTTCACAGACGTACTCTGTGAAGGAGGAGGTATAACTGAAGATTTAGAAGATTGTGGAGGATCAGATTTTATAGTTGTTACACTCTCAACTTTCACAGTAGATTTACTCACACCATTAACGACAGGTTTTTGATCAGACTGCCTATTTACACTAGCAGACTTTGGGTCAGGTTTTACGGGGAACGTCACGGTCACTTTACTAGTTTTTACAGCTTTCTCTTCTACATTTCTGACTGATCCATTCTGCTGAGAATTCGGGGTTTTGTTAACACTTGTGGCAGGCCTTGTTGCTGTGGTTTCATCTATATCCTTTGTTTGGATGCCTGCCTTTAGGACACCATTTTCTGATGAAGGCTTTGAGTTCTGGACTGTATTTATTATTGTTGTATGGGGTTTTGCTGCATTTTTAACTTCTCCAGAATTTCTCTTTTCTTCGCTCTCCACAGGTTTGGAAACATGTTGGTTGCCTTGCTACAAAATACAATAAGTTTGTTATTTCCATGTATTGTGTGAAGTTGACAACCTGGAACACATTCTACCTGTCTGAATAAAATCTTACCTATTTTTCTTTCCAGTGACATGCATCTTATCTTATTTATTTTTAAATGGAGGTGGTATTGCTATTTTCACTTAATTTACAAAATAAAGCAACTTTTCCACATCTTCAATAGAACTTTTTCAAGAAAAAATTATCCCTATCATTTACATAATTTACATTTATGAATAAAAAAAAAAACACCTCAAAACCTAACTAGCAGAAATCTGAAAACGATTTTTGATAAAAGTTTGTTTGTATCATCTGTCCTAATTGGGGAAAAAAATGTTAAATTCTGATGAAAGCTAGCTCAAACCGTTTCAAAAATCTTTTAATTAAAGCAGAAAAATATTCTCATTTGCAATTTAACAAAAGGTTAAGCATATAAATTTTGCTGAAATAATTCAGCTGTCGCACATGCACTTCTTATAGATGTGAAATACTGATCTCGGTAATTTACCTGATTGATCTCGGTAATTTACCTGATTGATCTCGGTAATTTACCTGTTTGATCTCTGTAATTAACCTGTTTGATCTCTGTAATTAACCTGTTTGATCTCAGAAATTAACCTGTATGATCTCAATAATTAATCTGTTTGATCTCAGAAATTAACCTGTTTGATCTTGGTAATTTACCTGTTTGATCTCAGTAATTAACCTGTTTGATCTCAGAAATTAACCTGTTTGATCTTGGTAATTTACCTGTTTGATCTCAGTAATTAACCTGTTTGATCTCAGTTATTAACCTGTTTGATCTCGGTAATTTACCTGTTTGATCTCGGTAATTTACCTGTTTGATCTCAGTAATTAACCTGTTTGATCTCAGAAATTAACCTGTTTGATCTCAGTTATTAACCTGTTTCTTCTCAGTAATTAAACTGTTTGGTCTCGGTAATTTACCTGTTTGAAACAGCTCATGCTCCTATTCATCAGAGCAGTCATTCTGGACTGTGATGCCTTCATTTCTCTCTGAATCTGTTTGTACTGACTCGAGCTCTTGCTCAGTGAGTCCAGCTCACCTTTGAGCGAGTCAAAATTTTCCTGCTCTTTCTTTTGTTCCTTCTGAATCAGCGAGATTGTTTCCAGCAGTTCCTGTAAAAACAGAACTACTAAGTATTTGAAAATGTATTTGATCATGCATATTCATCAGGGGAAAAAATTGAATTGTTCGAGACTACTACACAACTCTAATACGAATTCTTTGAACAATCACTAGAGAAAACATAGGTAATCAGAGATTACAGAGCTCACTTCAACCAATGTTGTCTTTAAGTAAGGCAAAGTCCCACATTGAACTAATTAATCTAGTAGTGTGCATCCCTAGATGCAACATTAATGCAATATATTGGTCTGATAGGGCTTGCAGTTACTTGGGAATGGACTTATCTAAAAACATAAAGCTAATTACTCATCAGATATTGTAAGTCAAATCCAGCATCTGAAGCAAGTTTGAGAGTTTGATGCATTCCTTGATGCATCTTCCATGCAAGTTTGGTTCAGATAGGCCTTATAGTTTCTTGGTAATGGACCTGCTCACAAAACTTTAACCTGGTCACTCATTTGGAAAATGTAGGTCAGATCCAGCATCCAAAGCAATTCCAGTGGTGTGCATCCTTAGATGTATCATCCATGCAAATTTGGTCAACATAGGTCTTATACTTACTTGGAAGTGAGATCTGCTCCAAAAACTTTAACCTGGTCACTCATCTGGAAAATGTAGGTCAGATCCAGCATCTGAAGCAAGCTTGGTAGTGTCCATCCTTAATTGTATCATCCACAAGTTTGGTCAACATAGGGATTATAGTTACTTTGAAATGAGACCCGCTCCAATAACTTTAACCTGCTCCAAAAACATTAACCTGGTCATTCTTTAGCTGAAATTGCAGCATCTGAAACCTTGACTGGTACATTGAAACACACTAGAATCATTCTCCATGAATCTCTGATTAATTTAGGGCACAGTACTTAAAAAGAAATCTGCTCCAAAAACTCAAACCAATGCCCACACTAATGCCGAGGGTATTAAGTTCCCACCAACTTCGTTGAGGTGAGCTAAAAATTGGATCTGATTTTTCCCAAATATTAGTTATCTAACCTTGAGTCCTAGATTTTGTATTCCGGTGTTAAATTCTCCATCGCTGCACTTCAGCAGATCAGGGGGTTTCAGTACCGTCACAGACATCTGAAAAAGGTTTATAATTAGAAGACTCCAAGAATTCAGCCTAATTTTTACCATTTGTGACATTGCATCTCCAGATAACATATAAATCATTAATTTTAGCTTACATCATGATCAGAAAATGCATGAAGTATGGATAGAATTTAAATGTATACATCAGCAGGGTTTTTTTTCAGTAATTATATAATTGTAGTAACTGCAGCAAACCCACACTATGTAATTGTAAGGATGTGAAATATGAATTAGCCTTAATAAATGAATATGGTTCGTGAAATATTAAATTGAATGGAAGTAAAACATAAACAGATGAACTTTGTTAACTCAAACAATGATATCTCGAATGCTATGGATATGTCAAAGTGACTTGGAAGTCCCAACTTCTCCTATTTCAATGTATTTTAACCTTGATATTTTGAATCCTCGGATATCTCTAAGTTCTTTTTTGGTTTCGTCGAGTTCAAGATAATTAGGTTTGACAGAAAAATACATCTATTTGGTTGCATTCATACGTTTTCTTTTTAATGTAATTATATGGTTATATGGTAAATTCTACTTCATATTGTGAGGTAAACAATTCATTCACAAATTACCCTTCAGGGTAACATAATGGATAAACTGTGAAAGTACAGTACATTTTGCATTTACATGTTTAGATAAGGAAAAAAAATCTTTTCTTCATCAAATGACATTTAAAATATAACAATTTCCTTGCTGTTGGCCTAGAATTAAGTGTACAATAAACATTTAAATATTACTGCAGGGGGACATCTCATGTGTAAACTGTAATACTGAAATCTTCCTAAATACAAAATGTCACCACCAGTGGATGTATAGAATATTCTCAGTGCATTATGAAGATGTTATCATATTACAATCTAACCTCAAGCATGTGTCAAGTGCACGGGTACTTATAATGTATTCAAACAACAATAAAACAGAGTGTCCTTAACAATTGTACATTTGTTATTTGTAGTTGTTCAGGGAAAAAATTAAAGACAACAAAATAATTATAATTGCAGTAGAACCTTAACAGAAGCTGTAATTCTAATCTTCATGTACAGTAAAATAACTAACCTTTAACAGTATAAGCTGTTTGGGTTGCCCACCAAAAACAATGACAGGAATAAGAAAAACAAAACTCTTGTTCTGTATTTGTGAATTATTTACGAGGCCATAACCCTGAAAATGAGCTGTCGCTGTGTAAAACACATCCTCAGGCTCCCCATAAAACAGTAGCAGTTAATGAAGAAGAGCTCCCTATGTCTAGGCCAGGTGTAAATAAATCACCTGTACACAGGTAAGGAGAACAATGGGGGGTGCACCGATCACAGGACACCAGGTCACTATAGGCAGCAGTCCTATCTTGTTTACATTCTGTTATCTTAGCCTTCAGTAATGACATTAACATTCAATTAGGGGGCCTGACCTCTAACCTTGTGTCTAATTTTAGACCACGACCATTTATTGTCTTAAAGAATTTAAGGTCAAATGCTCATTTTCATAACTATTTATTTAGTCATAGATAAAACGTGGCAAATAAATTTGAAAATAATTATACTACTGACCAGATACCTCAGTTCAGGGATTTATCTATGCTGTACCTTTTAACTACTAGCTGGTAAAAGATACCTTTCCGTTTGGAAAAAATGTCAAAATTCCCATTTTAGTCACAGAAAATTTCCTATTAATTTATTAAAACATAATTATATGTTACATTCAAATTATATTTACTTATGATAGTTCCATAAATGTCCCAGATTAGCTCTCAGAATGTAGATTTTGGCAACATTTATCTGAAAATTTCCATGGGAGTACATGCATACCCCCAGACTCCCATACTCAAACCTCCAGCCCTAAATGTCCAGTAATCTTTCTCATTTTTCCCCCTTCACGTGAAAAGGGTAGTGAAATAAAATATCTAGATAAATCCCTGCAGTTCGTATAGAGAACCTGTCAATGTGATTCAGGTGGCCCAAATTTGAATTAATCCTGGTCTGGTATATTTTGGTGCCATAACCAGGAGTGCGTTCGAGAGCATAGTGGCTATGTGACCTCTACGTAAAGCTACAATGCTAGCCACTACAAACATGTAGGGTCAGAGCTGGCATTAATATTTGATGCTAAGTACCAATTCAAAGATGGCCTCCTTAGTTATCACTTCGCAGCACACAAGATTTTAAAGAAAGGGGAAGGGGGTTGTTTTCTACATCTTAGCGAATTACAGGTAAATTTACATATATTTTTTCGATTGAAATAAACTTTTTGTCCCAAGAATAAGTTTTTATCGATACACTTTTATTCAAAATTTAACACTTAGCAGCTAGGCTAGCTGTCCATTCAATATAGAGATAGATATCTACCACATTGCTGCTAGGTTAGCCTCTACGATCAGCCCAGGATTCAAACCCATCCACCCTAAATCACAAATTATATTTTCTCCTTGGTAGTTACATGCAATTTATATATGGTCTCTATGTTGAACAAACAGTTTTTTTTTTATCAAATATGAATTTTTCACTTATTCTGGCATTCTTTTTTAAAATAAATTGAACAAATATTATCAACCTCGCGTTTCCCATCCACAGGAGATCCTAGAAGATTCTGTGATACAATGACGGACAACACACCTGGTTAAACAGGTGTTTCAGGTGAGTGCAAACAACAGTGTACAAAAAAAAATCTTAAAACGTATTTATGAACACGGTTAATATATATGTTAAACACATATTTTCAAGCAAAACAGCGCTAGTATAGGTGAGAATCACGGTATGGGGGCACTTTCAGAATGTCAACAAAGTCTTGGCAAGGTGACAACGTGAAGACAAGCAATATTTACATCGTCTACAAGGGGGAAACGGTTATTTTCTGTCTGTATTCACGCGCATAAGATTTTTACCTTTAAATAAAGGATGTGTTTCTCTCAAATCACAACAACTGTTTAGCAGACTTGAACTTTCACTTGCTGTCGCGCCATATTTACATTTTTCCGGAATTGAAGGTGCCAACGAGATTTCAATGGGATTTTCTGAGATTTTCTTTTATCTACCTCCAGGGGTGATAGGATAATTGTCAGCTGTTGACTGGAATGGGTTTTGGATCAAAATTACCAAATTAAGAATGAGATGAAGAGATATTATGCACTCTGTATTATCAGTATGAATTATAAACATGAAATTGTGTAGGCTGTGTGTTTTTTTTCTTTTTGAACACTTTGATAACCCCTCTTCTTTTAGAATGGAATGTCCCTGACGTCATTTCCCCCAGCGCCATTGTTTGACCTCCATGGTTGTGTACTCGAAATTAGCCATGGACAATCAAGAAGAAGTACTAGACGCACTAAACAGTATGTAATTTTGGTATTTAATCGTTTAAGAACTTGTATGTTATGAAAGACTCACAATCAAAACCTCTTTTATTGGTTTTTCAGATTTTGAGAAGAAGAAAGGCGACATTCCTCCTGTTTTAGAGCAATATTTGAAAACAATAGCAAAAACCGGCGAAACATTGTAAGTTCAATCTATAACACGTGATAATCAATCTAAAAGAGAATAAACAGACACTGTCTATATGCAGAGATGGTTTAATATTGTAGTCAATTCTATCGGCATTTACAAAGGCATGTAAAGAACATGTGTGTTTACTCATGTGTGACCGTTACTTATCAGCTGTTTTGCCAATAACAAATTAAATTGTAAACATTCACTAAAGTCACAGAACGTGTCAGACATTTTGATGTAAATTTCTATGACCACAAGCACCCAATAGTAACATATGACCCCCCCCCCCCCCACCCCTTTTATGAAAAGAGAGCTGTAAGAGCTCGTCTGGTGAATTTCAGAACATGCATTGATTTATTTACTGGAGAAGAGAGGAAAAATGACAAAGTAAAAAGAAAAAATACCAATTTCTAAAATGACATTCCTCAGTAATCCAATTTTAATTACATTTTTTTGTTGAGAACTAGATCCATACTCTTCAAATATTTTCTCAGTGATGATTTTGTTCAGATATTTAGTGGAATTCCGCTAATTGGTAACCCAAAATCTGATATTTACAAGTGTTTTCCAATATTTTGGTACTTTCTATTTTTGCAGGGATCCTTTTTTGTTTTTGTCCTTGTGAAAAATTCAAGTTGTTTTGTCGGTGTTTTGATCTAGTCTGCATCATCCAGACGTTTGCTTTTATCTCCAAGTAAGGTAAACACAAACATAGGGATGTTTCAAACTTCGTTACAATGGTGTGGCAGTTCATTCTACCAGATATTTTGGCCAATTCATAGAATCATCACTGATTTTCTGAAATGAGCATCCAGAATAGGATATCATCACCCCCAACAAAAATGTATCCAAAAAAGTAAGGGACATGCACAATATGCAGAAATGCACACTGCATGAACATTTGATTTTGCAGTATGAGATGTATATTTCAGGTTCCCTTGGCCGAGGGTGAAATCTTTGTTTATCAGTAAATTGGAGGATGTGATGACGAAGTTCCACCAGGATCTTCCTGCCGACCACCTCCCCCCATGTCCGAATGTGGACAACCCCAAGTTCAAAGAGATGAAGAAACGTATACTGGACTCGGTCAACAAGTTCTCCGGGTAAGTGAATATCCATGTATTGCAATGGTTTGTAGGTAATTCATAGACGGGAAATGAACAAGCAATTTTGATCTTATTGAGGCAGTTTATTTAAGGGGCAATCATGTTGTCTACTTAATGAATGGACATTTTAGGTTATACATATTATATGCTTCAAAATTTTGTTACTATTTGAAATGGTGAATTCTAAAAAAAAAAAACGATGGACAGGCAATAGCCAGAATTACCATACGGCTTTCTACCAGTTAAAAAAAAAACAGTACCCTTCCTTGTTTGGGTGATGTTACAGTTCATATTATGACTTTTAGGAAATTTTCCAAGTTTGTAAATAACCAATGCAAATGACATGGATATCAATATATTTAAACATGTCAGATTTTTACTTTACAACACCCCTCTCCACAGCTTGTTAATTATCTTAAAAATAGACCCTAGTAATGAATCGAATGTCGCCAACAATCGATTGTAAAATGATTGGAGCTATTAGATGCTGATAAATAAAAGTCGCTGTCAAAAGCATTAGGGTTATCATGGTTATAAGTACTTGAAAATTTATTTTGCAAAAAGTTTAAAAGTAGTCATGAATGTTTAAAACATAAAGAAAACCTTCTTTACTTGTTGTTGACATTTTTTACTGACATGATTGAATGTGAGGTTAGACTAATAGCAGGAAATGGCCAACATTAGAATTAAAATTCTTTGTGATATGAATTAAATTTCCCTACATGTATGAACATAGAAATTGAAGTTAAATCCACATGTGACGTCATTCTTTTGTTTGAGCGCTCCATTATTTTTCAAGAATGGAGAGTTGCAAATTACATTGAAAACAGAATTTGTTATGTTCATATGGCTCTAAATTCGCTCTTGAGTACATTTGGGAGGAAAAATAAAGAATTCTGTAGACACGTTTTTTTCTTAGATTGCTTTATGTGTATTTGAAGTTTTGACTCTAAATAGGACAAAAAAATGTTTGAATAGATAATTAAGTCAAAAATAAATATTTTATTAATGTTTGAAATGTGTGTCACATAACACATGACAGACATATAACGTACTAACATGACAGACGTATAATAAAATGTGACATGATTAAATTACATTTCTGATGCTTAGCAATACAAATAATCTGTAAAAAAAATAAAATTCAACGATTCTTTAAACCATGCAAAAAAAAAATTTTACTCTTATGTAGAAGAAAAAAGATTTTTAAGCTACTTTTGATGCACAAACTGATGATCATAACACTGACAGACTCCTCTACTTAACCAGCCAAATCAACCATAAACTTTCATTATTTTACCAAAAAGATAATGTTGGCGTAAGAAATGGACATTAATCAAATTTTGATTCCTTATAGATTTTAAATTTGAATTTTTTAAAAATAAATCTCTGCTATATGCTTTGTATCATACAAAATTTCCACCATGTCTGTCATGTTACGATATTTCTTGAGCAATACCTGTTTGAAACGAGCCATTAAAATTTATCATTCAAAGCTTATCTTTCGTTCTTGGAAATTATAATACACAAGATATTACTATTTATGAAAATACTAATGAGATTTAAAAAAATAAATTATTTCATATAGATCAAACCTATATCGTAACATGTACGGATGCACGTAACCCTGACAGACTCGTTTTAAAAACTGCAAGAGAATAACAACAAAATTGTATTGTTTAAGTTATAAAGACAAATTCTGCCTTTTGAAATATTAATATTCTTAAATAAAAATACTTTTTGGTTTAATTCACTGAACTGTAAATCTGAATGCAACCGTTTGATTCACGTAACATGAACAGACATTCGTTTTGTCTGTCACTGTTACGATAGTATTCAGGCAATGTCTGTCAATCGGTACGTTATGTAAGAAATGTCAAATTTTAGGTGTTTATGTAGTGATGAAGAGCGTGCAAGTTCATAATTTAAAAAAAGAATCCAAAATACACCTACTAGTTGACAATATTTGATGATATGTGTTTAAAATCTAGGATAAAGACAACTTAAATTTTATGAACGTAACATACTTTATGTAACGTAACACTTGACAGACAAACGTTCGTGGCTTCTCGGGCTCTCTCCATAGCTCTTCCTATCGAAATGTAAACACATTTGCATAGAACACTGGAGAAAATTAAAATGTTCATAACCTTTAAGTCAAATGTATAAGAAGAAGCATCTCTGAGCTCTATTCCTAAAATAGAACGTAACGCCTACTTGCCGTGACAGACACAGGAAGCATCCCACAGATTTGTTAATTTCTAAGCACACATGCTTTTCTGTTGAATCTGTGATCACTTAATTGATAAATACGTGAATTTTCTATCAGTAGACAAGAAAGATAAAATAGTTCGCATAAACAATGGCCCATTTTATAACAATGTACCCGGTGTATTGAGAACAGACGTTACGCTCAAAATATGAGAAGAAATAAATTCCAATTTTTCTTTTATTTGAGACATAATGTGCATTAAAATACTTCTGTATGTTAATTTTATCCTTCCTAAACAATAGTGAATGAAGATATTCTGTGTACAAGGTATTATCGCTGTATTTCTGTCTTTTATTTTGACATGGTTGAAAATGTCCCCCTACACATGCATAATTCTAGTGGAATTATCAAATTCATTTCAGAAAAAAAGTAAGTTGATGAAAAAATCTGCTTATTTTATCTTTTTTATATATTTGCAATATACTTTTCAATATAAATCATTTCTTATTTCAATTTTTTAAATAATTTATTTTATATTCCTCTTGTTAATATCATAGATCAAGATGTACTCAAAAGCGAATTTAGAGCCATATTCTCCTTCCCGTACCGAGGAAAGAACTTAGAAAATTTTAACAAGTTTAGTAAAATTTCACGTAAAGAAAATAAATGTGGCACTGCTGAGAATCAAACCTGGTACCTTCACCTTCGGAGTTAGGTACTTATCTCACTAGGCTATCGAATAGTCTTTAAGTAATAAATAATAACTAATAAATAGTCTTTATTATACATGTATATAAACAAACAATAATTACATGCATTTAAAAAGGTGGATTTTACGCGGGTTAATATAGTCATAGCACTCCATTCCTTAACAGCAATGGGCATCGGCCCCTTCGGGGCCTCAGCTCCATTACTTATAAGGAATGGAGTGCTACTCGTACATTAATCCTTACTTAATATTTTGAATGTGTATGTAATGAGATTACTGTATTTACTTATTGAACTCTGAAAAGAAGAAGGATACAAATATTTTTTATAATTGTCCTTCATGATTTTTTTCTTTTCTTGAGGGGAAAAACATCCAGTCATGTTTGATTATTAATGGATGATGTGTATTTTTAACGATGATTAATTATGATTTTTGTTCAATTTTTTATCATTAATAGACCCTCCATAGCTTTTTAGTTATATTAAGAATAAAGCCTCTTTACTTTGTTAATTAAACCTAAGAATAGACCTCTCTATAACTCGTTAAATTTAATTAAGAATAGACCCTCTATAGGTAATTAATTATCTGTCGTGAATAATTTTGTAAACTATTTAAAAGTTACTCTGTGTCATGGAATTGCAGGTTTACAGAACTTTTTTTGTATTTCAGGGCTCCTTTTACCATTCAGCGATTGTGTGAGCTTCTGACTGATCCTAAGAAGCACTACAAGCGCACAGATAAATTTCTCCGTGGTATAGAAAAAGTAGGGAAAATATTTTTTGGCTATTTTAAAGACCAGTTATTTACATCATAGATTGAATAGGCATTATATACATTATACACAAGGAAAGTTATTTTTAATTTTTTATTATAGATCTGAATTTTTTTGTTCTGTTCTTTTTTTTTTTTTAGACATGTTTGAATTTGATTTTTTTTTTTTTTGATTTTTTTTAAAAAGGAGATTCTGATGAAAGATTTTTTTTTACTTAAAAATTGGAAAAATATTTCACAAAGGGTATCATTTTATCATTTTGACATATATTTATTCATTTATGTCTTGTTTACATTACAGAATGTTTTAGTGATAAGTACAGTTGATCCATTTGGAAAGTAAGTACATCACACTCCAAACCATAATTCTGATCAGCAGTGCCTGGGAAGTCAGACAACAGGTGGGGCTGATGGCCCTTCTTTTCATGAAACAATAGGGCCATTTGGAAACTTAAGGGGCCAAGAGAAAATACATTGGGGCCATTTTGAAATATATCATAGTATCAGGGATGAAAGTGTTCTGCTGATTGGTGGATTCCAGCATTCTGTGCATCAAAAATGTCATTCTTGAAAACGATAAAAATTTGATGATGAACAATTTTGGTGAGGGGTATGTGTTCTTCTTACAGAGTCCAAGTCACTCTTGATTGTAAATAAACTTTTTTAAGTATGCAAAATATAAAACCCATGAATTTGCATTATAGTGTGCTTGGAATGCCCCCAATTATCCTGGAAAATGTGGACTTTCCAGGGCCTTTGCCCCTTGGCCCCTGCACCTTGACCTGGGACTTGCAGCCCCCAAACCCCCTGCTAAAATTTTCAGCTTTTTAGCTCACCTGAGCTGAAAGCTCAAGTGAGCTTTTCTGATCACCCGTTGTCCGTCGTCCGTCCGTCTGTCTGTCCGTCTGTAAACTTTTCACATTTTCGACTTCTTCTCAAGAACCACTGGGCCAATTTTAACCAAACTTGGTACAAAGCAACCTTAGGTAAAGGGGAGTTTAAATTGTTAAAATGAAGAGCCAAGTCCCCTTCAAAGGGGAGATAATCAAGAAAATACAAAAATTGGGTGGGGTCATTAAAAAATCTTTTTCTCAAGAACCACTGGGCCAGAAAAGCTGAAACTTATGTGGAAGCATCCTAAGGTAGTGTAGATTCTAAATTGTTCAAATCATGACCCCCGGGGGTAGGGCGGGGCCACAATAGGGAATCCAAGTTTTACATTGAAATATATAGTAAAAATCTTTAAAAATCTTCTTCTCAAGAACCAATGGGCCAGAAAAGCTGAAACTTACTTAGAAGCATGCTGGGGAAGTGTAGATTCTAAATTGTTCAAATCATGACCCCCGGGGGTAGGGTGGGGCCACAATAGGGAATCCAAGTTTTACATGATAATATATAGGAAAAATCTTTAAAAATCTTCTTCTCAAGAACCACTGGGCCTGAAAAGCTTAAACTTATGTAAAAGCATGCTGGGGTAGTGTAGATTCTAAATTGTTCAAATCATGACCCCCGGGGGTAGGGCGGGGCCACAATAGGGAATCCAAGTTTTACATTGAAATATATAGGAAAAATCTTTAAAAATCTTCTTCTCAAGAACCATTGGGCCAGAAAAGCTGAAACTTATGTGGAAGCATGCTGGGGAAGTGTAGATTCTAAATTGTTCAAATCATGACCCCCGGGGGTAGGGCGGGGCCACAATAGGGAATCCAAGTTTTACATTGAAATATATAGGAAAAATCTTTAAAAATCTTCTTCTCAAGAACCATTGGGCCAGAAAAGCTGAAACTTACTTGGAAGCATCCTGGGGTAGTGTAGATTCCAATTGTTCAAATCATAACCCCTGGGGATAGGGCGGGGCCACAATAAGTACTACGGGGGGGGGGGAGAAATCAGGTGAAAAACAGCAAGGCCAAAGTTACTCAGGTGAGCGCTGTGGCCCATGGGCCTCTTGTTTCAGTAATATATCCACTTTCATCTCTGTAGTATGCAGTGATTTTTCCACATGTTTTAAAAGGGACCTGGGCCTTTACAATTGGGAAAAATTATTGACATTTTTGTCAAAATGGGAAAAATCAATAAGATTGAAATGAACCTTAATTGACAGGTAAAATGAAATATATAAATAAATGTAAGATCACTTATTCAAAATATTTACTACAAAATAACAAATTAGACCCAGTTCTATATTTTTAAGTTTCTTTTTTTTTAATCTTGTAAGTTGTCATTAATTGAGACCTTCCTATATTTCCATTCCTTTTTTTGTCATAATGGTAGCAGGGACCTATATACTAGTTAGTATATATAGGTTGACATAAGAGAAAATCCTACCCCTAATAGCCATTGAAGATGATCTAACCTGACATGATTTATAACAAATCATTTTTATCTAAATAATTATTCAAGCTTTCTTAATTACCTTAATCATATTGCTGCAATTACCATGCAAAATTAGTTGCATCTGCAGGGTGTAGACACAGTTCGATTTTCGTGGAATCAGGGATGCTTGTTGTAGAACTACTAGTACTTGGATTTACAAATAAAGCTATGTTTCGCCGATTCACATGCATCTTTCACTTTCTTGCGATGTATTTAGTATGACATTTTGACATGATCCATGTGTTTTTCTAAGTCTTGTATATGCACAAAATAATCTGCTGTTCTTCTCTATTATTTGAAGAGTTCGAAGGACCGAGAACAATAGCGTTCCATTTTAGATAAGTCTTACATAAAAAATTCAATATAACAAAAACAATAGCGGTTTTATTTTGGGAAAAAAGCAACTGAAATTGGGAAAAAATCAGCAATTTTTGATAGGGAAAAGGGCCGATATTCAGACCTAAATTGGGTGTAGAAAAATCACTGGTATGGGAAATTAAAAATAGGCTATAGAAATTGACAAAAAATTATCAGTCATGTGTAACAATTGACTTCAAGTTCAAAAACATCCTAAATCATTCATCATCAAACACAGCAAATATTTGGAAAAATTTTATATTTAAGTAGAAGTACTGTATTTTTTTTTAATCATGATTTGGAAATTGAGGGAGAGGCCAAGATGAATAAGCTTCATTGATATGGTATTTCATTGTAAGGTTATGTTTTCTATGTGCATGACTTCTGTAAAGTTAAAATTGTGATGCTTTGATCAGCCATCCAAAACAACATAACACTTAGAAAGTACTTGGTAGGAAAATTGTTTGTTTCTTTGCCAATGGAATGTCAGTATTTTGAATGGTAGTTCCGAGCATCACAGACAATTCCATTTAACCTTCATGAAGATGACTGTGGTGAACTTACAAACTATGAAATCATGCATGGTTACATTTAACAAATTATTTAAGGGGTGTGCCCCATGGTGCAGAGCACCATTTTTGGCATTACACGCATATTGTGCATAGTGCGGCCCCTTCCCAGGCACTGTTGTAGGGTTAACTTGTCAGTTTTACTATTGCAAATGTTAAGAATAAAGAAATAACTCGACAACATATGATTGTATTCTTTTTTAAGACGTGTTAAAATTTTGAAGAATTTCTAGATAAAACATGTGAACTTTTGGTTACTTAAATGTAAGTATCCATAACATTTCCTCTGATTTACAGTAAAATCGTCTCCGAGTCGCGGGCAAACCTGGTGAATGGATTAGAAGGATCCCCTGTCAATGGAAATGAAGCAGACTCCCCCACAACAACCACAGACCTCACACCTGTACAGTATTCTAGCTTTCCCACCCAGCAACAAACAAACTGGACTACAGACAGCTGGGCAGGGGTGGGGCCCAGTCAAGGGACACCCGATCAGACGATCTCTTCCTCTGATGCTGGACCCCTCCCAAGTACCTCCGATCTGTCCTCTGATCAGACACCGCGTGACAATCAGTTGGAGGGTTCTGTACCAGAGTCTTGGTCAGGGCAGGCGATGTCTGACCGAGAGAAATCAGTGTGTGAGAGTGAAGAAGTGCCATGTGAATCGGAAGATACCTCTCCTGCCAAGAAGCCGAAATTCACAGGTAAATACAACAGAACATAACTTAATGTCATGGAAGTGTGGGTAAATTTAGTTAAATGTTACTTAATCAAATAAAAATGTGCAAATTAACCTTAAATATTGAAAGATTTACATCAAAGCACATGTAAATCAATGTTGCTTTATTTAAATAGGAACAAGTCTAATTCCACAATATTTATTTTATTGTGAATGTTCTGCAGATTTCATTTTGAGAATATTTAGGTGAGGTTTTTTTTGCTTTGTAGGTGAAATATCCGAAGAAAATTCATCAATAGAATCACCCACATCAGATAATACTAACAAACAAACAGACACCCCACTAAATACAGAGCCATCCAGAGAGCAGTCAGACTTTCAGTCATCAGAGATTGTGACCTCAGAAGAGTCAGAGGTCACACAAAGGTCAGAGGTGAACAGTGAAGCAGAGACCTCTGACAGTCTATCTGACAAGAAATTGATTTCTGAACAGGAACAGAGAGACCTCAGTAAGGGCTCACCCGAGTCGTCTCAACAGAGAGATCTCAGTAAGGGTTCACCCGAGTCATCTCAACATGATAAGTCGGTCAACAGTGATAGTCAGTTACCTCAGAAAGGCATTACTTCTACTAAAGACACATCAGAAAATGGACAGGACCAAAGCCAGTCTCCGGAAAATAGCTCAGAAAGTCTACAAAACAGTTCAGAGGACAAAGTGGAGCATAAAAGTTCTGAAGAAACATCTACGCAGCCAAATCAGTCATCCTTGGAGGAGAGCACGTCTAGTTCCCTGGAGACAGAAGAACGCATGAGCTTGGACAGTGAGACAGAAAATGTAGAAACCACGAACCCCAGTGCTGATAGCAAGGACCCTGTAGCCACACCCACGGAGGAGGCGACATCAACAGAAGGGGAAACACCCATGGAAGAGGATTAAATGGTTGTAAATGGTTCATTATTACAGGAGTTTTGTCACCCCCCTACATAATTTACCACTGACTGTCAAACTAGGCCAGTCCTATTCATCTAAAGCCATTTGTAAAATATGTGTAAACATCATTAGTGTTGCATAGTGGTTCATTTTGCTTTGTTTAGGAAAAAATCATTCATAAAATCAACACTTGCACTGAAGCCATTGTCAATGTGGTAAGGGGAATAGTATCTGTGATTTATGCACATTTAATGATATTTTTACGTATCAAAACGAAAACCTTTGCTCTCATAAAATCATTTCCATTCTCTTATTACAAACAAAATCATGATTGTTATGATGAAGACATCGTATTGTACGCCAGACTTAAGCTATTTTTACTTTAACAATTTTTTATGTTTAGTACGTAGGTGCATATGCTGTAAACACAGCCCTCATTGATCTCAAAATACCAGACTTAAAAACAAAATAGGTTATCAATCATTGAACACCTGCATTCACCCTATTCTAAGGTAGCTTCAAGTAAAACTGAAATAACTCCATTTTGGTCATCAAAATTGTCATTTTGTAAACAGTAATTCACAGCTCAGACCAATAATTGTGGAACTGTTTGGAGTATGATAGAATGTATTAAGGAACTCTTAACACTAATGAGATATTTTCCTTTTGAACTTAGAGAAAATTGTATTTGTTTCGGAAGTAGTACATATTGTGTTTATCTGGTTCATTTTCAAAGAAGGGTACATTGTTCAAAGATAATGAAGTGTTAGTGAACAGAAATCACGGTTGTTTACTTACATTGAGAAAATACATGAAAATACTTTTTTCAATAACTTTATGTTAGTCTGATATAATGTTAGGTTTGGATTAATTTTATGTTAGTCTGATATAAAGTTAGGATTGGATTAATTTATTTCAAATTGTGTCATGTACTGCTGATCTCCTTTTATTCCATTTTACATCAAAGGGCAGATCACTCTAATGCATAAAACTACCATGAGATTAGAATTGTTTAGAGTAAACTTAAACATGTTATTATTTCTATAGTAGATTGTGTTTTGTGTTTTTAAGATAAATAACTAACATTTTAAAGGTTGTGTTAAAAAAATCCTTCTTCCTAAGTACTCCCCTAAATTAAGAATTCTTATTTTTTATTCCACTAAATTAAGAACTGACTTTTGGAAATGGTATACTGTTACTTTTCCATGAAATACTGAACATGAAAATATCCAAATAAATAAAAGTAATCAAAATGGAAAAACATGATGCAAAGTATTTCTACAAATGTTGTATTAATTTGTACAATGATGTATATTTGTAACTTATTTTCTATATACATGTAATAACTGGGAATAGTATTTCAGTCTTCATACCAGATTTTCCAAGAGATAACTGTTTACAGTTTGTATGATACCTGATGTGTGTTATTTTCTAATGTCATTTCAGCCTTGTGATATTATGATTTTAGGTGTTAATTTGTAATGGTTGTCAGTGCATTCTTGTCTGAAAAAGAAACCTTTGTATAAGATTGTAAGTGCTATAAAGATTCCAGGTTCCAGTCTAAAAGTCTCTTACTGTGTACTTTCACCAGACTGAGTATGGTTGATGAACTATAGGAAGTAGCTTCATATGTCAGTCTTTCACATTCTTATTGGACTTTAAATTTACTTTCGTTTACAATATATGTCATTCATTTATTATTTCCCAATAAGTAATTATAAGAATATTGTTTTCTGAACATTTATCAACTTCCAAGACAACAAAAAAATAATAGAATATTTTTATGCCCCTGCCATAAAATGGCCTGGGGCATATAGTGCTACCCTGTTCCATCTATCCGTCATTCTGTTATTCCGTCATCATTGACTTTCCGTTCAATATCTCGGCAACAGTGGCACAAATTCAACTCAAATTTGACATATGGGTACGTTATAGAAATATGTAAGTCAAGTTCGAATTTGGTCATGGTCCGATGATTTTTGACAGAGTTATCCTTCTTAAAATTAGAAAAAAAATTGAAATTTTCAGATTCTGCTCTCTAACTTTTGTATTGATTATGTATAAGGTTGAAATTGCATATGCAGGTATTTCACCAGAAAATATAGGTCAAGTTAGAATTAGTCGATGATTTTTCACAGAGTTATCCTTCTTGAAGTTAGAAAAAAAAAGAAATTTTCAGTTTCCATTCTCTAACTGTTGTAGGGATGTATGTATAAGGTTGAAATTGCATAGGCAATTTCCAACCGCATAAAGGGTCAAGTTCAAATTTGGTCATGGTCCAATTATTTTTGACAGAGTTATCCCCCTTGAACTTTGAAAAGATTTAAAAAATTCACAATTTCTAATCATATCTCAGCTACAAATGTGCAATTTGAAATTTTGGCTGCCTGCGGGGGCATTTGTGGCAATACAACACATCCAGTTGATTCCAATTCTAGTTTCAATTTAAGTCAAAAATAATTTTTAGAAAAAATTCAATGCAATGGTAGTTGTACCTTGTAAATATTGATATTATGGCTGTTTTCTGTAGTTCAAAATTAGATTATTTCATTAGATTATTTCATTTAAGGGAAGACTAAGCCTGAATTCATTCACAAATTGTCATTGCAATTTATTCTTTTCAAGTTACTGTGGAATCATTATTGTTCATGGAGGCCAGTGTTTGTGGGTCACCCTTATCAACAAATTACCATCCCCGTGGAGACATGGAAGATAATCATGTCCAAGTATGGATAAATTAATCTTCTAGGAATTACGTTCACAGGAAGCATTGGAATTTAGATTGCCCACAAACAAACATTGACCCCCTCAAAGTAATCCGATTCCACAGTAGTTGTGACAACAGAATTAAGTAATGCAATTCCACAGTACCGGTAGTTATGCTTATAGGATTCAGAGATGATTGGCATATTCCTTGCACAAACTATCATGACTTTTCCCAACCTTCAAGAAATGGATAAATTATTTTTATTTGAAGAAAAATTTGTTTAGAGCTATTGTTGTAGATTCTGCTAGACCTATGTATGTTCATGGCCACATTGTCAATCTGGCATTTTGCTTTAGATTGTCATTCCTCATCAAAAAATGTATTAATCAGCATTGCAAGCCTCATGTTACATACAGTTCATATTATGTCATCAAGTGTGACCATCTCTGTCAAACATGATTGCATAGGAAAGCTTTATTGAGAGAGAAAGTGATATGTGTGAAAGTCCAATATTTTATTATACTTGACAGTAGTCAAAGAATAAAGTGATGGAAAAAACAGAAAATTTATTATTTATCTTAGGGATACCTTGTAGTAGTAACTGGGTATGTTTGTCTGTCTCACTTTTATATGATAATCTGAGTACCATTCAACCTACAGACACCATATTTACTACATAGCTAGGTAGTGATTAGAGGAAGGCACCTGTACTTTTTTATAGGTCTCACAGTCAATACAAGTTATATCAATACATATGTGATGGGATGACATACCTATATTTTTAGCTTTTAGTCTTCATATGTTTTACAAAGGTAGAGAATGTTAGTGGAAAACACTTATTACATGCGGTCATTTGGGTATTAAGGTATGAGCCCAAGAAATGATGTTAGTCAAATGTAGATTCTCCAAAGAACTTCCAAAAGCAATAACATTAAAATGTAGAACTTTTCTAAACATTATATAACCTTTCCTTATGATAAACGTTTTAACATATACAACTGCTTCTTCAATAGAATTACGTTGATTTGAAAAACCAGTCTGATTCACCACACAAGTACTCGGAAAATGATATATAAAAAGGGTGATGGTGTGTTGCTCAATGACAAGTAAAACCATCTTGCAGCGAAATGCCAGGGACGAACGATTTTGGTTCGTTATGTTCAGATTTCGATGGGGACTAACTGTGCCCCTTTATTAGGAGACTAGGCGAGGGAGTTTGGAAAAGTTCTAAATATTTTTTGATTGTTCCATTTTAAAATGTACAAAAAATCAGAAATTCTTTTAATAGCAGCTTCACATGACAAAGGTTTTAACACCAAAAACTTCTGAGTTGTAAGTCTTCTAACGTTGTCTATGGAATTGAATGCAATCTTTGTGGCCTCATTTATATTGAAGAAACCAATACACTCAACAAGAGAATGTCGGGACATTAATTTGAAAAAAAAATGCGGGCCATCAGCATCTTTATAAACATTTTAATTTTCCAGACCATTCTATTTTTTCAGAATCTAGGGAAAAAAATATTATCATCCTTCAAATAGCCCTACTTAAACTTTAAGTACGTACTGCACTCCGTAGACAAAGAAAGAATACTGGATTAGAAACTTAGGCACTGTATTTCCTTATGGTAGGAATGACCATATCAATAAATTAGGATATCTTTCAAGCCCGCAGTGTGTCAGTGTGAATGTGATTGGACCTTTTTAACAATACGCCAAGACGTAAGCGCAGTGATGGACATCAGTCATACCATAAGCCAAATAATTATACACGATGTCTCATTTGATTCTCTATTATCTTTTGTCAATAAACAATGTACAACGCATTCGCACAGAACTTTACTCCGTGCCCTTGAAACAATTATATGGATTATTAGAAGCTAAAGCAAGCCCATATCTGGATTTTTCAACACCAGAATACTTGTGTTTGTGATTATGGATGTTGCCCAACGCAAGCTCTTTAAACAAAATGTTAAACGCCACATGTTACGGAAAATAATAATTCGGAATCAACTCTACGATTTCTTAAACAAAGATATAGACTGGCGCTCTTAACATTGGCAACATTCTTAATCACAAAAAAGTTCTCTATTGTATTCCACCATATTTTAGTTGGTCTACACCTTGTATTTCTTACAGATAGTCTCCAACCGTTGCATCCAAAATTATCAATTATAAACAAACTCTACAGTGCGTAGATATTGACCCTGTAAAACAAAATCCTAAGTGTTAATTCTTGTTCCTCCTCTTCTCTCAACTTTGATTAATTCAGCTGTACACAGAATTACTGGTGATGTAAATATAGTTCAAAATGACGACCTAAAAGCTATCATTTGAAAAGGTCCTAAATTCGGGAAGCTTAGGTCTTTCAAATGTTGATAAAACTTCATTTCTATTATGAATTCCGTCGCGGAGTATATGCTAGACAATGGGGGAAGACACTGTCAGAATAAATTAAAAGTTTCAGATTATGTTTTTAAAAACCGCATTAGAAAGTAAAGAGCAAAATCTACATGTATCTATCCATCCGTTTTCAGTAGACGGGAAGTAATAAAAGAGTTAGAAAGACTACATGAAAAATATGTTTTGGTTCCAGCTGACTAAAATTTAACAA